ATGGAGTGAAGGGGCTTGTTTCCCAAAAGCCCATCTTGAGAGTGTGAGGATCCTCAGATCAGGAGCAACAGTCCAGCCTTTCCTGCCCCTCTGCTGCACCCACATGATGCTGCCGCTTCTCCCAGGAGCTTTCACAAGCTTTGCGACTGGCTGGTCCCCGCAGTGGGGTTTTGGAGGTTAATGTGCCCAGCGGCTTGATCTTGGTCATGTTGGGGAAACGGGGAGGGGGCATGTGCCTTACACATAAGGATGGGTCTGCTCAGTTTGATGTCAGGGAGGAAAATCCTGCTCGATCATGGGCCATCAGCAGACGCAGCTGAAAAAATAAAAATGTGTGCACCAGGCAGCAGGGGAACCGTGAAGTGCAGCTTTCTCCGAGTGTTGGGAAGACGTTTATGGCTGGGAACCTAGTGACCAAAGAGGGAGACTGCCCCAAGATGAGGAAAGCCGGGGGAGGAGGTCATCTGGAGGCGGGGCTTCTCCAGGCCCAGGCAATGAATCGAGCAGTTGAACCGTCCAGCTCTGCGTGGGCCTTGGAAGCCCTGAACAAGAATCTTATTGATGATTTGTCAGACCCTGAGCAGACAACCCTGAACTTTAACAGAGCCAGGATGGAAAGCCTGCACAAGGGCCTACAGTTTCCAGAATGAACAACAGTCTTATTTTCCCCTCCCTCCACTGGAGGACCAGGAAGAGACGAAATGAAAAGCGTGGGGGACGGTGGGGGAGCAGGAGATGCGATGAGCACGTTCCGGAGCCTCAATGGACAGCCACATTCCTCCGAGGGGTGGCCCACTCCTCTGAGCCCTGAGGGTTGAAAAATGTCACTGGGGTTGTCGCAAATTGGAGCCTTGCCCCTGTTGGTTGTTATTTCCAAGAGTCTGTAGCTGAATCCCAATGAGACACATCTGTGCAGGGATCCCTGATAGCCTCTGGCATATGGGCATCTTGTTAGATGCCCAAACTGACCAAGACTGACCTTGACCAGAAAGGACTACCATCTAGACTTGATAAGCCCTGAGATGACTGGGAGCAGTTGGCTTTGTCAGAACAGATTCTAGGGAGGCAGAGCTGGCCAGGGACCTGAGTGCTGCTGGTCACGGGCAGCTGCACAGAGAGGGACCTTGGGTGGACCTTGAAGAACCATGTGGATCCAAAGAGAAAGGGAAATGACTCCTCTGGTTCCTGGAATCTCACTCTGGTCACTTCTCCAGGGTCCCATTAATCTGGGTGCTTACCTTTAACCTAAAACAACTATCCTAGAAGGAAAGGAAAGTATGGGCACTGCCCTGACATAGAGCACCCTGGTACCATTTTCCCCACCCATCTGCCTTGCCCGTCAGTTCCCTAACGGCAGCAACCGTGGCTGCCAGGTTCACCGTAGCATCCCCAGGCCTGTGCATCTGATGACTTTCTGCATCTCTCTGCCACCTGGTTATCTTCCCTTGTAGTCCCTACATCTCGCTGAATGATCACCACATCCTGTTGGCTGTACCTATCTCTTTGTCTCCCCCACTCAACCCTGGCCTTGGGGTATATGGTGGACCAGGGAGCAGAGGCCATGACTCAGGCAGTCCTCTCCAGTTCCCTGGGAATGACTAAAGCCAGCACATTGCAGACAGCAAGTCCTTTGAACTTGGACACACTTGGGTTTGAACCCTGGTGCTGCTATTCTCTGGAGATGTGACCAAGTTAGGTTGTAAGTCAGCCTTAGTAGCTCATACCACAGCTGTGCTCCTGCACGGTGGTTGTGAGACCAGGAGATGGTGGGGGTACAGCTGATGGCATGGTGCCCAGCTGCCCTGATTAGGTCATAGCCTCATTATTTTCATCTGCACAAATGCGGTCATCTAGTTGGCCTCCCTGCCTCCCCTTCCAGCTGTCTTTCCCCACTGTCTTCAGAGTTTTTCCATCTCCAGCCTGCACTGCCCACGACATTGTCCCAGGTCCTGCAGGATTCTGCAGTAACTCCTAAGCAATTCAGATAAAGCTGTCACCTTCTGCTCCACTACCCAATCTACCGTCTGGCCTCAGAGCCCACCTTCTCCCCGTTCAGTCCAGCCCCACCTGCCCTCATGCTTCCTGGGCCCTTGGTGCCAGAGCACTGCCACTTCCTGGTGAGCTTCCAGGCGTTCCTCAATGACCAACTTACAAATTCCTCTCTCCGAGAACTTCAGAGTTTGCCTCTCTTTCCTTGGTGCATTCCTGGTCCTTGCAGACACTCGTGAATTAATCTTATCCTCACCCTGTGTGTCCACAGGATGCCCTGTCCACAGATACGAGGCCTCCGGAAAGGTCGAGGATCTCTCTGGGTCACTTTTGTCTCTTAAGAGCCAGGCACATGCTTCCCATCCTTTTGCTCACATGAAATGTAAACAAAGGCTGTTTTCCAGGAACCAGGAAACTTTGGGGAAAAGCTGAGGATGTGGAAGTGATACGAGGGTTTCACTTTTCATGCTTTTCCCTCCACTCAGTCAGTCTGAAGTAGCCACGGAGGCACGGCCCAGAGAAGTCCACCGGGTCAGAGAACCGTGGTGGAGACGCCGCTGCCTTGCAGGGCCCTTTGGCTCTTTCTGGTCTGCCAGAGCGGAGTCCACAGCTCCAAGTCGTGTTCCTCATATTCTTTCTTTGTTTTCCTTTTTAACATCTTTAAACTCACTGCTAAAGCCTGTGGAGATCCTGCAGCCCACAGGAAACCCATGAATAGCTATTAAAAACAAAGCAAGACCCGACCTAAGGCCTCTCCATTTTATTATTTTTTAAAAAAATCTTCTCTGGGGCCAGCTTAGGGGGACCCTGAATAAACTCTTGTTGACTTAATAGCAGTAGAGCTTTGTTCACAGAAGTCAGACTTATAAGGCTGGGTGATGGATCCTCCTGACTTTATTTCAGGAAAGAATCCTAACTTGGCTGTCATCTCTCTCCCTCTGTTCCCTAGTTTAATTCCATTCTTCAGCTCTGTGCCACCTCTAGGACTCTCCGCTTTGGCTCAGTTGTCCAGACACAGCAGCACCATCAGCTTGGACCAGGACAGGGCGACTGGCAGTGTGGCTCCTGGTCCTTGGTGAGCCGATGTGGTTATAGCAGGGCCTGGGGCTGAGGCAGGGGCTCCAGCTGGGACGCCCTGCTGGCTCAGATGGTGGAAACCCTTTCCCATGAAGATGACAGATGCTGGGTGCCTCGTCTTGCAATACCCATGGTGCCCAGGCTTCCCTGATAGGTCTCTGTCGTCTTATGAAGGCCCTGTGGCTCATCCTCTTTGGTCAAGCATTTGGTCTCCTGGCAGAGCCTGGTCTCTGCCACGTTCTCTCGTGTGTCCCAGGCTGCCTGCCTCCTTCCCTCTGGCTATTTATAAATCTGCTCATTGTGGTTACAGGTCTGACCAGCAGTGCCAGGAAGACAGGGCAGAGGGTGAACAAAGTAGTGTGGACTTGCCTCAGTGGGCCTTTTTTTCTCTCCAACGTTGATTGGCTCCCAGAGTGAGACTGCTACAGGACTGTTCAGAAGGAGAGGGAGCACCTGGTCTGGCTTGAAGCGGGGGCTGGGATGCAAGCAAGGCCACCAGAGGCTCCAGATGGTAGCAAGTTGCTGGGGGCCTACTTTAGAACAGCTAGTCCATGTGGGAAGTTTAGGGGTTGGTTTCATTTAGGCTAATTGGGGGGGGGGATAATTATTTGGGTTCTCAGTGTTGTTCTGTACTGTGAAACTAGAAAAGTAAGCTGAGATCTTTTTCGAATCACCTTTCCTTTCTCATGTTCTATCCTAATGCCAGATCTTAGATTTTCAGGGGACTTCCTTTCAGTTCTGATCCAGGCAATAAATTTATTTTTCCTGTACACTGCTATGGAGTGACTTTGGTACACAATAATAAGAAGAATGGGTTGGCTTTGCTTTCATTCATTCACTCCATCAATAAATGTTTATTGGACATTATGCCAGACCCTGGAAATGTGAACTAGACATAGAGCTTGTCCTTGGAGCTTATAGTTAAATAGTGACACAGGAAGTTACATGATAGCACAGTAGAGCTGGGAGAGGGTATGTGTTTTTTGTTGCTGCTGTAACAAACTTCCAAGCTTAGTGTCTCAAAGCAACATAAGATCATTAACTTTTAGTTGTAAAGAAGAGATCTAAGCACCCACAGGCTCTGTTCCTTCTAGGGCCTTCCAGAGGGGCCAGTATCAAAGGGATCATCTGTCAAAGGAGCCCTCACTGTTCCAGAGGCCCAGAGAAGGCATCCCAGGAGGAATGGTATCTAGACCAAGACCAGAGGGATGTAGGATCTGCCAGAGGAGGAGACCATGGCATGGGAATGCCAGAGGAGCACAGTGGCTGGGCTGCAAAGTGAGGTGATGAATATGAGGCTGACACTGTAGAGTCTGGAGAAGGCCAGTAGGGCATCAGGGGAACAGAAGCCGCTTTTAATGGTGGGTATCTGTGATCCGATTTGTGCTTTAGAGAGCCATGTAGCCAAACCAAGATCAGGCTTGGAGCCATAGGATTTCAGAGCTGGAAGGAACTTTATGAAGTATTTATTAAAGGACCTGAGAGGCTTAAATAATAGCTTCAAAGTCTCCCAGAGAGAACCAAGATGAAAATGACCCTGATTATAACCACACCTCTGAGAGCAGAGCGCATGACTGCAGAACATCTGGAGGCTGTGTTTTGTTTTCCCACAGAACCTCGTGAGGGCTTATATTAACAATGGAAGGTTTATACTCAGGGTGTTGGGCCAACCTGGCCACTGTTGCTTCTCCAGCAAATGGTAGACCTGCGACTGTGGCTGAGGTTATCCATCTCCAAGTCAAGGGCCTGTTTCTCTCTCAATGTGACCCTAGAACTGAGAACGCCACCTCCTGGCTGGGTACCCTGAGTGCTGCCAGGCCTCACATCCAACCAGAGGGATGGTGGGTGGATGCTGCAGGATCCAGAAGTGTATCCGAGCTGGGCCTTTGGGGAGAAGGAGCCACTGAAAGATCTCTCCTGTTTTTGGTCTGTAGCCCTGGAGCAGCTCCTGTCAGAGCTGGACCTCTTCCTCAAGATTCTGGACCAGGAGAACCTGAGCAGCACCGCCGTGGTGAAGAAGAGTGGCCTGGCAGAGCTCCTCCGGCTTTACACCAAGAGCAGCAGTAAGTGTGGGCCCAGGGCAAGGAGAGACCCCACGGAGATAGAAAGAGGGCTTGTTCGACATCTCAGGCTGCCATAGCAAAATGCCAAAGACAGGTGGCTTAACAACAGACATTTATTCTCACACTTCTGGAGGCCAGAAATCTGGGATCAAGGAGTCGGCAGGGCAGGCTCCTTCTGATTCTTGTCTCCTTGGCTTGCCAGTGAGCGTCTTCTCTCCCAGTGCCCCTGCAAGGTCCTCCCTCTGCATGTGTCTGTCCTAATCTCCTCTTCTTGTAGGGACATCAGTCACATTGAATTAGGGCCCAACCTTGTGACTTCATTCTAAGTTACCCCTTTATAGACCCGTGTTCAAATATAACCATAGTCTGAGGTCTTGAGGGCTAGGATTTAACCTATGGTTTAGTGTACAGGGGCACAATTCAGCCATAACAGTGGCTGCAGGGGTGACGTGACTTAAGTGGGAGCCCCTGAAATATCTGAGCACTCAGCCTGAGTGAAGTATTAAACAAGTATTTTTTAAAAATTTTTTAGTTGTAGTTGGACACAATACCTTTATCTATCTATTTATTTATTTATTTTAATGTGATGCTGAGGATCAAACCCAGAGCCTTGCAGGTGCTAGGCAAGCGCTCTACCGCTGAGCCACAACCTCAGCCCCTAAACAAAGTATTTTCAAAACTCTCTTCCTTACCTATTAAAAGTAGAGAAGAGGTAAATGAACCATTATAATAACACCCAAGACTGAACTGAGTGAGTCCCCTGCACACATATGAACTTGTTTCATCTTTAAGATGCCCCTCTGGGGTTGGTCTTGCTATTACAGAGAGGGAAACAGAGGCCCAAAGAGTTCAAATCACTTTTCCAGTATTATACAATCTAAAGGGAAAAGAGGAAAATGTCCTTAAGACCCTGTAACTCACAGAATCCTAAATTTATCTTTCCCATCTTTTTTACTGTGGTAGTTTACATATAATAAAGTGTGCTGATCTTAAGTACACAAGTGCATGAGTTTTGAAAATGGTCTGGACCTGTGTAACCACCACACAAAACAAGACATAGAATATCTCTGTTATCTAGAAGGTTCTGTCTTGCCCCATCTCAGTTAATTCCCTTTCCACCCCCACCCAAGGGAACCCTTGCTCTAATTTCTCTTGCCATAGAAGGGCATCCTGGAGCTTTGTACAAATGGAATCCTACGTGAGTCCCTGTGGCTTTGTCTATGCTGTTGGGCATGCCACTCATATGTTCTTTTATTGCTGCAGACTGTTTCATTCTGGGAACACACCACAATCTGCTTATCTATTTATTTGCTGATGGACATTTGAATTGCTCTCAGATTTCTGCTTTAAGGCTACTATGAAGGTTCTGTTCCAGTCTTCTTGGGGGACATATGGTTTCATTTCTAGTGGACTAGGAATTTTTTTTTAAAAAAGAAAAACCTTGTGAAGCCATAAGAGTTGAGTTGAATTTATGTCAGGTGTTTGGACAATGGGAAGTGCTATTTGGGGACAGTAAGGGCATCTTATCCATCTGCCTCTTGGTAGGAGCAGCTCAAGTCTGTGCCAGGGGAGGGAAGTCTCCACCTGCTCCAGGCCAGAAATGCTCCCTGCAGCCAGCCTGAATCTGCCAGGCAGCACTTAAAGGCTCCTTCGCCCTTCTTTGTTCCCAGGGACAAGTGTTTCTGTTCTTTGAGTGACAGAGACAGGTAGGGCTGACGCTTGTTGCTGGGTGCCCATCAGCTTCCCTCTTGGGAGAGCTCTGCTCAGGGGTGCTCTCCTGGAGCCCCGCCTTACCATCACTGTTCCCCAGGCCACCCGGCAGTTCCCAGGCTCCTCCTGGCTTTGTAGCAGCGTCCGCCTGCACATCAAAGACACGCGCCCTCCGTGAGAACAACAGAGGGGAAATCTCAGAACAAAGCAGGAAAGCCAGGGAGGGCTGATTCACTCTGCAGCAGGATTCATCTGTGGAATCCTTTAAAGCACACTCCCCAGACCTTTCAAGATGTGCTCGGACTTGAGAACATCAATTAGAAAGACCGCCTCTGTCAGGAGTCGGAACACACCTCTTTATTATGGGTCTGTCGCATAGTTCTTGGTGTGAACCCACTGGCAGTGCTTCCTGTATTGGGTCCCTTTTTGGTTTAACATGCTGCACAGCTTCTGCAGGGACCTTTGTTCTGCTCTGATTTACCCTTATAAACTCAGTCCTTCCCCACCCTGCCAGGGCAGGCAGCTTGTGACGGTGGAAGGCTGCTGAGAACTGGTCAGGGGACTCCTCAGTGCGCATCATCTGGAGTGGCCCCAGATTGCTGATAAATGTGCCTGGCCATTCTAAGAGCTCTGCCATGGCTCATATTCTCAGAGGTGCTGCCCACTTGCTGACACTGTCCGACAGAGAACTTCTCTTCTGGTCCTATTTGTATCCCTTCAACTGCAGAGAAGGTAGAAGAGCAGATGATATTGACTATGCATTTACTGTGTCCTGGCACACCACTTAATGTCTTTAGTGCTATAAACAATGTCATTTAATCCTCATCTCAAATCTGTGTGGGAGTCAATGTCTCCATTTTACCAACAAGGGAACAAGGGCTTAGAAAGTCACTTGCCCAGGGCCTCATGATAGTGAGGGATGAAGCCAGGGCAGGCAGACCTGACCCTTATACTCCCCCACCTCCCCGGGCTCAGTGGCACCCCATTACCTGTTGTGCTGCCCGGGACCCAATCCTAAACACCTTCCACCCACCCTGAAGTTAAAACATCCTTCTTCCTCAGGGCTGTCCAGGCCTGCCTCATGTGTATCTACTAAAAACTTGGCTCATTCTGGGGATCTTGCAGATGGGGGCTGGCTGGTCATTTCAAGATAGCCTGTGGTCCACATGGGCTGCACTGCTATTTGCATGTGCGCCGCAGGGTGTGAGTGAGTTTATCATGTGCTTTGAAGTGGAATTGTTCATTTGAGTTTCTGAGTTTTTAATTTCTTAGCATAACACAAATTCTCTACCCTCTCCACTTTTTGTCTGGGCGATGAGGTCAAGGCACACATTGAGGTCTGTTTGTCATGGGCTTGGCCACCTATGGCCTGTTTGATCCTTTGTCAGTAAGAGCCATACCGTCACCCCCTTGATCGGCAGCTCCTGAGTTTCAGTGGCTGCCCCTCTGTTGAGCACTTCAAATGCTCTTGTCTACCCACATGTCACAAAGAGCATCATGTCCTTCCTCTCCCCCGACCCTAGTTCCATGAGAAAAACCTCCCTTTGCAGATAAGGACAGACCCACCCCCACCCCAAGAATGCCACACTTGCTCTAAGCTTTACTGGCTCATTTTCCCAACACCATCTATGGCTGCCCTCACTTCCTACCTGCTGTGTAACTCTTCAGGCAGGGTCTCTCTCCCACCAGATCAGTGGGTTCATGAACCTGGAGGTGACATCTTTGTGGTTCTCTGCTGTATCCCCAGCTCCTGGCACATTGCTGATGCTCAACATGCTTCTAAAAAGTGAATGAGTGAATGATAGAAGGTTCTCCAGACCAAGGCTGTGGCCTAGGACTGCTTAGGGCCAAGTTTACTGTATTTTTTGCACAATTACAAAGATTTTGGGGAGCCTTCCATAACCAGCCTGGGTAGTCTAGATTAGTCAGCCTTTGGGAATCAAAACCATGTCAATCACAGGCCTGCAGAGTGCTCAGTGTGGGAGCATGCAGACTCCAGGGGTGGTGAGTTTCCTTTGTAATGTTCGAATCATCTCAGGGAGAAAGCATCTGCTCAGAATCTAACAGTTAAACAGCCACAACAATGTCTTGCCTTTTATTTTTTCACACAGAAGTGTGAACTTGGTCAATGATATAAAAAAAGAAATGAACATAAAATGACACTATTTATGGACTTCCAGTTCCTTTTTCTGATTTTTATCAATGTCATCTGAGTATTTTTATATAGTTGTGGTTTGCCTCTGTTTCTGCTTTACATTATTTTTATATTTAGAATTGCTAGATGTACACATTTCCATGTGTCAGCAGTTCACATACTTTTTCTTTCTTTTTCTTTTTTTTTTGCTACTCTGAAACTTGATAGTTTAGCTCTTAAGTCATGACTGTCTTTGCAAATAACAGACTTAGAACAACCTTGTTATTTTTTAAGGTGCAGAGTGTCCATGGAATGTTCAACTAGCCCAATTTTGGTGGGCGCTTAACTCGTATTTTCTGAAAACATTTCTCATACAATATTGCAATGAGCATCCTCAAAATTTTGTTCATGTGCTGGAGTTCATCTGTAGGATAAATTTTTGGCAGTGGAAATGCTGGGACAAAGAATATGAACATGTGGGCTGCGGTTGTAGCTCAGTGGTAGAGAGCTTGCCTAGCACATGCAAGGCTCTGGGTTCGATCCTCAGCACCTCATAAAAAATAAATAAATAAAATAAAGCTATTGTGTCCAACTACAACTAAAAAAGAAAAGAAAAGAAAAGAATATGAACATGTAAAATATCCTCCAAAATCACCTTAAAAACTATTATGTCAATTAACACACTCTCCACTAATTCATTTATTTTTCAAAGGTGTCCAGCTATTCTATAGGTTGATGCGCGGTGGTTTATTTTACCATTTTTCTATTGTTGAGCCTTTGTGTGATTTGCCATGTTTTAGGCTGTCATTTGTAATATTGGTCAGCCCTAAGCCTAGATTACTTTTTCAGATCCCCTAATATTTAACTTTCATATGCTTGAAAACTTCACAGTTAAGTAGAAACATCATGATTGTTTTTCACACTATAAAGACAAGAAACTGAGGTGTAAGGGATAGATGTTTTGCCCAGAAATATGCTGTTAAAAGCAGAGAATCCTGCCTCCTGCCCCCGCTGCTGAGCACTTGTCCCCTGAGCTGTGCTCTGCAAAAGGCACCACTGGCTCCTCTGTATCTCAGCTGGTGGAAGAGCACAGTTACACCTCACAGCTTCCTCCCATAAACGGCTGCCATTCTTGACACAGGGTGACCCCACCAACTTGTCCTGGCAGGGCTGGGCACTGAGGTGTCAGTCCTGTGGGCTGACCACCCTTCCAGCCTCTTCCTGGATCTCTTGGTTCTCTGCGCTGTTTTGTAGGCCTTTGGCTGGAGTCTAGAAGGTTTGTGGCCAGGGAACAGACCAACCCTCAATTGCCTCCTTCGCCAGGGGTTTGAATTGGGTCTCTTGGCTCAGGATCACTCTCAAACCACTAGAATTTATCAGCCACAAGTTTCCAGGAAATGCAAATTGAGGGCTGCAAAAGAACTTCAGGAGGGTTTAGAAGAGGAATGGTGTTAGGATGAACCCTTCCACTGAATCTGAAGAACATACCTGGGATTAGAAATTGAGCAGCTGGCCAGAGGCTAGCTCTCCTCCCCCATAGGCACTGCAAGGTGACACGCCTGCACACAGGCATTCTAAAGGAGGGGATGGGTTGGGCAACTGTCTATGGGGTAGATGGGGTTCCCCATTCTCCTTCCCAGCCTTCTTACCCTTAGAACTCATGACTTGGCTCTCAGCACCCCACCCACCCACCCACTAGGAGCCAAATGCACCCACTTAGGGGTCTAGGAGACAAAGAAACTTCCTGGTCCTTAGAGTGACCTATCTTATCTAGTCATCTCTCTAATAAATTCATACAAGTAATTCAGATTAGCATGAGAATGATAGGAAATATTTTAAATGTAAATGTAAATGAAATGGTAGGAAACCTAGAGACGACAGGTCCTGGCGGAACATGCGGAAGATCTTTGAGCTATGAGTGTCTTCGACTTCCGACTTCCGATTGTCATTCCCAAAGCTGTCCTTCCTGTCCTGCCCTTCCCCTCATCCCCTACCACCCCAGGCTAATAAACTAGCAGTCAGCAGTTTGCAGTTTCTTGTTTGGAAACCTCTTGGCTCTCTATGATGGATCTTAACCAACTTAAAGTGCTGAGTGCTTTTACTGGAACCTAAGCAGAGGAAAGCATCTTGGGGGTATTGTTTTTCTCTGGAAGTCACACATGAAGTCACACAAAGTCTTTATTCTCCTCCTGCAGGTTCTGATGAGGAGTACATTTACATGAACAAAGTGACAGTCAACAGGCAGAATGCTGAGTCTCAGGACAAAGGTACAGGGCTGGGACTGCTGGCTCACAGGAGATGGAGGGAAGTGCAAGGCTCAGCTCCCTCGCTCCCCCTTTCTTCCAGCCAGCGTGCAGACAGGCCTGGAGGAGTTATTTTTGGAAGACGCATTTTGGTTGGTGGTATTTTGGGTTGATGTATTTTCGGTGTTTCAGCGGGCCGCCACCTTCTTGCCCATTGAGGAAGGAATCTGTCCCTGCAATCTCCTTTTCCTAGCATCATCCCAAGAACAGGAAGTCATAATTCAGATGTGCTGGGAGCACAGCTGTGTGTGGTGCTGATCCCACGATTCCAGCTTTGTGTCTTTTGATAGGGGAGGAGGGAGGAGAAATGCTGTGAGCAACTATTTTAATATTCAAAGAAGATGCACCAAGGGGTCTCGTGAGCAGAACATTTTCTCTTTTACTGGAAGGATATGTGGCATCTGGTCCTTGTCCTCTAGATCTTCTGCTCACTACTATTTCCCTTTCAATCTCCGGTCTGATGGGACCCCAGGGGGCCCAGAGGTTTGCCCAGCTTCCCAGTGGCAAAGGAGGAGGCATAAGAAGCTCTGCCTCCCAACTCCCAAGCCTGCCACTCAGATGGCAAGGTTTAGAGAGCGATAGGAACATGGCTTCAGAGCACTGAGCCCTAGAAGGCTTGGAGAAGGCAGCCCCTTGAGCTCCAAGGGTCAGAGCTGCGCAAGCTGTCTGGCTGGAGCTGGCTGGATTGGCCAGAACGACGGGGCCCAGAAGGGCCTTCGAACTCCCTTGCAAGGGCCCAGAGGGGTAATGGCCTAACTTCCTTGTGTGGCAGCCCCTCCTTCTTCCCCTACCTCCAAGCTGGGGACTGCAGACCTATCTGATGACACTCCCACTCTGCCCAGGGTCATTCACCTTTGGGGTCAACCGTGGGAGGAGACGGCCATAATCACAGGGTCGGTGCTAAGAGCAGCTCAATATAGTGCCTGCCGGCAGCGCTCTGGTTGCTGCAGCTCTGTGGCTGGGCCATTTTTGACATGGGGTAGGTGGGTGGGGGCTGCGGAGCCTGCCAGAAACCCCAAGCCGGTTCCTTCTGGGGACTCTGCCCATGACCGGGCATGGTGCACCCTATTCTTGGAGGTGAAACAACTTTGGCTTCAGGGACAGCCTGCCTGGGTAATTATCACCTGCTCAAATAGAAGGCATGTGACGGGTCGGACGAGCGACCAGACATTCCTGGGTAATGAGACCCAGCCATGAGGCCAGGCACACCTCACCAACGCCTCTCTTGCTCCCTACAGTGCCTGAGGAGCAGGGCCCACTGAGCAATGGGGGACCTGGCCAGCACACCTTGGCCCCTCAGAAGAGCCTTCCAGACCTCCCTCCACCCAAGACAGTAAGTGTTCATCCAGGGCCCCCGGTTTTCCTGACTTAGGCCCTGGGAATTTCTACTTGTCCTCAGAAGTGTTGTACCAAGTTTCTGGCATTTTCTGAGCATTCTCTATGAGCATGAGGCAAAGGAGACTGAGCCAAGGAAGCTCCACAGGTGACTTGTCATTGGCCCAGGCCACCGTATTCCCCATGCTAAAGGTGATGGGAATGGGGAGATTCTATCAAGAGTCCCCGTGTGTCTAACACCATGCTAGTCCCTTTCCCCAGAGTCACATGAGAGGGTCCACGTACAGCTGTGGTGTCCAGCTCAGGCCACTGTGACCTTTTGAAACTGTAAATCTTACCACTGTTCATTTCCTGCTTGAGACCTCCCCATGGTTCTCGTTAACTTAGAAAAAGACGTTCCTTGACGTTGCTCCGGGCCTGCACGTCCAGCCAGTTCCCTCTCCACTGGCCTCACTCCTGCTCCTGGGTTCTACCACTGCTGTGGGACCTGCTGTAGGGACTCTACTTCCTCTGCCACTGGGTCTTCTGTGACTGTCACTGCCTTATCTCCCAGATGTTCCTAGGCTTCCCCTAGCCGAGCTGCATGGGGCATCCCACTCTTTCTCTGCCTGTTAGTACCACCCCTTCGCCCCTCCATGGTACCTGCCACTCTTGACAAGATCTTCTTATTATTTGTCTCCTCCCCAGGACAGGAACTGTGTCTTCCACTTACTACTTCATGTCCAGTGGGGCACACAGTAGGCCACACACACATAGTCGTTTATTGGGTGAGTGGATAGGTGGATGGATGGGTGGGTTGGATTATAGAACTCTGAAGACATGGGTTCAGGTGCCAGGGCTGCCAGGCACTAGCCCTTGCACCCGGAGAAGGTTATTTAAGGTCTGTAGCTCTGTGTCTCCTGATGTTAAGTGACGTTGGCGTGTGTCTCACTCTTGGTGGTGGTCACTGGGCTGAGGGTGTAGGCCACACAGCGCTGTGTGGCATTCTTCTGGCGTTCAGTGAGGTGGGTGGCAGCGTCCTTGCTTTATGGGTGAGGAGCCTAACATCTCACAGTAGCAGCATCAGGATTCAAACCCGGGCATTTGCCCCATGGAGCATGGTTGGGGCTGGTTTCTTAGAGAAGGTAGAGGGCCACAGCTGGGGGGATTTATGCAGGAGGCAGGGGGCCTTGGGGTCCACCTCAGCAGGAAACTGAATCCATGGTCCCTCTGAGCTCCAGCCACATGACCCATTGCTGATCTTTAAGCTCATGTCACCATTGAAGGGGTCCCAACCCCAGAATGGCTCTGGACGCCCCCTGCCCTCACGCTTTGCTGAGGCAGCAGTCTCCTCCAGCTGGAGAGTGACTCTGCCACACAGGCCAAGGGCCCTTCCGCAGTGCCTGGGACCCTTCCCCATTGCATGGGGGCCCTCAGGCTGGTGACGGCTGGTGGGACTCTCTGTCTTGGGCTAGGTGATCCTTGATGGACTGATCTTAGTCTTTGGGTATCCCCATGGTGCTGACGTCACCAGGGACTGCCCCACCCTGAGCTCTACCCACTTCCTGAGCACAGGCACCATCCCCCCCACCCATCAAGGGGTGGCTGTTCTCAACGTGGTTTTCCATGTGAAGGAAGAAGCTTAGAGGGCCCCACGGTGGGGGGATTTGAATCTGGTTTGTGCCACTTTTGTGTGGCAGAGTTAGCATGGCTTCCCTCATCTTGCCCCCCCCCCCATGCTCTGGGGCGCTGGGGAGAAGCACCTCCCTTCTGCTCTTTCACCCAATTGCCGAGGGCTTTGACCAGTGAGAGAAGCTGTGGTTCTCTGATGGAAGGCTTTCTGGTGTGTCCCAGGCTCACTCTCCGTTGGGTGGTAGCTGGACAGGGAGTGGCTCAGGGCCAGGGCCACACTTTCCTTCCTGAGTCCAGCATCTGATTGGGACCCGGGCACCTTGGACGTCTGTCAAGTGGAAGTGCCCCATCCATATGCCATGGGCCACAGGGTCCGCACCTGGTGGGTGGGGGTGTTCACCAGGCAGGCTCCCTGGCGCTGAGGGCCAGGCCTTCTAGAAATCTGTGGTTTGAAATCCCTAGCACCACCCCTGAGCTACATCCCCAGCCCTTTTTATTATTTGAGACAGGCTCTCACTCAATTGCCCAGGCTGGCTTCAAACTTGTGACCCTCCTACCTCAGTTTCCTGAGTCACTGTGACGATAGGCCTGTGTCTCTGGGCCCAGTTGACATATGTGTTTTACAAATGGGACCGGCATACAGGTTTGAACCAATTGGTCCTGGTGAGGGTGGCAGCCCCGGGCGCTGGCACGGTTTTTACTACTCTGTTGGAGTCTCATGTACCAACTGTGTGGCATGAAGGGCTGTGAATGAGGTAAGGGGCAGGGAGGCCAGTGGCCCCCTCCAGGAGACTTCCTGTGGCATCTTTGTCTGGGGACTGCTTGACCAGAGAGGCTTACGGCCATCTGGGAGCAACCTGGTGCCAGAGGTGGTCTCCCAGCCTCCCATGAGGACTTCCTGTGCTAGATGGGCCAGGCGTGTGGACAGCAGCCCTTATCCAGATCCCTCCTCGTTCTGTCCTAGGCACCCACCGCCACCCTCAGGGGTTCCAGGCGTGGTAGGTGGAAGGGTAGCATGGAGCTGGGATTCCCCGCTCCTGGCCCACACGAGTATGCGAGTGTGCACGCGTCTGAGCTCCCTTGGGCCTCTTCCATCAAGCCTGGCCAAAGCAGCTGTAGGTCGTAGTCCAAGGGCTGCCGAGGAGTGGGGTGAGGAGCAGCCAGAGAGAGGATGAGAACCAGAGCCGTAGCTGCCTCATCAGAGGGACGTGGCAGCTCCACCCCAGGGCCCGGGCCTGGAGTGACCCTGTGACCTGCCCTCTTCAGGAGCCCCTTCCTTCCTAACCTGACCCTGTAGCATCTGGGTGCCCCGGGACTCATCCACCTGAGTGCTGGGCTCCTCACCACTGCCACCCATGGGTGCTACAGAAGAGATCAGATGTCTGCCTGGAGTCCTCAGTGCCACTGGCCAGGCCAGGATTGTGGCCTGTCCCAGGCTCAGGATGCTTGTTACCCATAAGCTGGGACTTTCTCCACAATGATGTGGACCCTCACTCCAACCCCCCTCTGTGGAGAGCGGGCCTTCCCAACAACAGAAGGGCAGCCAGAGGTCTGGAGCAACCTCGTGGGTGTGGACAGTGACTCAGGCAGCTGTGGCCTTCCCGGGCTGCTGGCTGTGCAGCCAGGTGCTGTGGTCACAGCAGGAGAAGCAGATGTTGCTGGCCACTGTTTACCTCTGGCCAGCACAGTCATCTCCACCCACCTCCTCTGGAGGCCTGAACATGCACCCGTGTTTGTGAGCTGCCCTGTGGGAGAAGCAGCTGACCCCATAGAGGGGAATTGCCACAGTCAGTGTGGGCACCCGGGGGGACCCCCCACCAAGAGCTTTTCACAGGGCATGCACTGGGAGCAGGCTGTGTGGAGCTGCAAGGGTGCCTCATGTCATCTGGGCCACCCCTCTTCTTTAACTCTCTGTCTCATTGTAGTCGGGGTTGGCACTGTCCCTCTGGCCAAGTCACCCTGCCTCTGCTTTAGTGAAGTGAAGATTTTTGCAACACAGCCATGCTGCTTTAGCAGGCATTGTCCATGGGTTCCTGTTCTGTGCTGCAACTGGAGAGTTGGACATCTGAGATAAGAGACTCCAAGGGGCCCACAAATCCCCCAGATATTTGCTACTTGGCCCTTTATGAAAAAAATCTGTGAACCTCTGGTAAATCTCGAGCAGGGTGACTTTCTTCCCGTCTCTTCCTCTGAACAGTCAGAAAGTTATTTCTGGGATTGAAGTCAAATCTCTTCTGCATCTTCATTCAACATTCACTGTCTTCCCCAGCATAAAGATGTCGATGATTCAAATATCAGCCCTTTCTCGGATCCCTGGGGAGATTAGGACCCTCTCCTTTGATATCCAATAACAGGTCTTTCATGTGTCTGTGTTTAGAGGACTCTCTCCTGAGTTCTTAGGAAAATCATTTTCTCTTTTAACTTGACCTTAGTGTTTTTTGCCTCAGGAGCCTGGGGACCTGGGGCTCTGACTTGTTCCTCTGTACCAAAGTGAGGTAGAGATTGGCATACACTGGGTCAGGCCCAAACAGTCCCCTTTGTATCCTTCCAGAATACATTGATTTGTCCTCTGCCAAATACATATACATGAAACTTCTCCATTTGCTATTTTTACATTTTATTTTCTTAGGTTAATAAAAATGAATATTTATTGAGTGCTTAATATTGCTGAGCCCAGTTTTATCTTTACAACAACCCCATGTGACAGGTATTTCTACTCCATTTTGCACTAAAGCCCAGGTTGTTGAGAGTCACACAGCCGGAATATCAGGATATGAGCCTGACACAGGAAGTTGGATTCCTCACCACTGTCCTACACTTCCCCTCTGGACTGATCCATTTAGATATTTCAGGGAGGCTTTTGGGAGACTCCTGAAATGTTGCTTGGTGCAGAAGGATCATTCTCTGCTCTGTCCTCTTCTAGCTGTGGGATCCTGATCCAGAGTCAGATCTTGGGTTCCTTGAGCTTCTCTCCATAGAGGCCACCTCCTCACACCCCCTTAGGGGTGCTTGCACCACCTGCTGAAAGGGGGCTTCCCAGAGGCTGCAACGGGAGCACTGGCCAGCCCGATGCAGAGCCCAGGGCTGTCTGAGAAGACCCTCTGGCTGCTGAGGGCAGGGGAAGCTTCCCCCCTTGGACTCTGGGAAGCTGCCTGGGCCTCCCGGGCTGCCCTTTCTCAGGCTGGTGGCTGGGGACAGCTGAGGAGCAGACACTTCTCCTGAGACTAACACAGGAAGCTGAAGGTCCTCTGCTCGCAGCTCTCAGTGTGGCCTGCTGCACGTTCGTGGCCCGGCAGCCACGTCCTTGGCCCCACTTAGTACCCGGTGGATTAGGAGATGCCCAGGTGATCCTGTAGCTGCACCCTCAGGGAGGGAGTTACTCCTGCTGGGGCTAGAGACCTTGGAGCCACCTCTGGGCTTGCCCAGCTCTGCTGTCTGAGGCCAGGAGGAGCTTGGAGGTTCAGTGGTGCAGCCACCCGGCCTCTGCCAACCCTCTTCAGGGAGACCTGTCTCAGCTGCAGGACAGTAGTCCAGGGATTAGGCTCCTGTCACATCAACTGCCCTCTCTGCCCAACCTACAGACCCCTGGGTTGTGGATGGCCCCCACAATGCCCACCATTGTGTCCTTGCAGTTAGTGTGGCCAGGCCCCATGGGGAAGTGTTGAGTCTCAGAGAAAGCTCAGAATGGCCCTGGGATGATTCTTTTGCAGAGAAGGGAAGCGGCTTGGAGAGCCTGTGTCCCTGTGTGGGATCCCTGGGTTTCCATGCTGTCCCCTCCTCCCTGGTAGAACTCCGGGCAGGCTTCCCTTCCCTCTGGACCCCTTCCTCCTTCCCCCCCCCCCCATAGGGTGGATCCAGGTTGCTCCCAGCATGCCTTTTCTGAAGGTGTCTGTTCTATCTGATCATGCCACAGATTCCAGAACGGAAACAGCCTGCCGTCCCAAAGATCGAGTCTCCAGAGGGTTACTATGAAGAGGCCGAGCCATACGACACATCTGTCAATGGTATGTCCCAGCGGCTGGGGCTGGAGGGGACTCGCTGCTTTAACCCAGAGGTCGGGCCCACTCACCTGGTGGCCACCAACTCACTCATCCCTGGCTGGAAGGCAAAGGGGCTGCCATTCCCAGAGAAAATGGTAATCAGGGCATTTGGCCTTTGGTCTTCAATGTGATGCCAAGACCCACAGCCACCCAGCCAGCCTGCCAGGAGGAGTGAGGATGGCCCGCAGCGAGCAGGCTCACGGTGCTGGTATTGACTGTGCTCCCACCTGGATCTCCTCCATTCATCCCAGAAAGATGGTGGAGGAGGATCTGTTGGCCAAGGGGTGCCCGTCCCTGGGAAGCAATGGAAATGGAGGCCAGACACAGTCTGAGCTCAGCTTCCATGTTCTTCTGTGACTCGGAGTTGTTGTGCTCCCAGCGTGTGACCAGGACAAGAGCACTCAGCTTCACTGGAAAGAAAATAGATACAAAGAAACCCAGAATACATTGTGTAGTGATAAGCCAAGCGTTAGGAAGGAAAACAGAACCGAGGCTAGACTTTGGCAGGAGAGGAGTGCTTTTCTCTGATGGCATGACTTTGGGCAGATCCCTGAATGTTGTGCCGAATGGATCACGCAGATACCTGTGAGAAGAACTTTCTAGAAAGTGTCAGTATTTGCGAAGGCCCTGGGGTAGAGGCCAGCATGGCAAGAACAGGTGAAGTAGGGGAAGATGAGGAGTGGAGGGCTGCAGGCCATGGTGAGGGCTTTGGAACTTTAAATGAAACTGCAAGCCTTTGGATGGGGTCCCTTAGTGACTGACCTCACTTAACTCCTGCACCCTGTATGAATGGCTACACAGGATGGCTCCATGCTGGAGCCATCCATTCTTGGCCAGTGTTCTCAGCCTGAGGAAGCTGGATCAGAGCTCAGCTTTCCCTTACTATAGTGAAATAGCTGAGATAACTATAAAGAGAAAAGGGTTATTTTGGCTCATAGCTTTGGAGGTTCCAGTCCAAGACTGGACAGACCCATTGCTCAGAGTCTCTGGTGGGCAGCTGAATGGCAGTGCAAGCTACTTACCTCATGGCCAAGAAGCAGTAGAACAAAGGGGATCCCACCATCCCCGCTGTGAGCACACCCCCAAGGCCTACAGCCCTACAGCCACAGGACCCTTACTTCTAAAGGTTCCAGTGCCTCCCAACAGCTCCACCCTGGGGACCACATCTTCGGCGTGGACCTTTGCAGGAGAGTCAACATCCAAACTTTAGCACCTTCTTCTCTTTTTCTCTTTCCTTCCTTTGTAAGTGAAAGGGTTTTGAAAGCACAGTGTGATTTGCAGATACGCACAGTGACGGTCCCTGCTGGTGGGAATAAACTTGGCAGAAGAGGGCGTGTGGTTCCATGAACAGCAGGACCCAGGATGAGACAGCACCAGTGACTTGGAGCCACGTCAGCTTCTCCTCTTCCTTCACACTGTACCTGCCGCCTCTAGTCCCAGGAACTGTGGGAGGCGAGGGCCTGTCCACCTGAGGATATTCTGAGTGGCTGGCCTTGTGGGTAGACGCCTCTTAGCTTCTCCCACTGAGCGCGTGTGACGTTGCCAAGTCACCTGCCCCGCTGTGATTTCAGACGGCAGCTGAGGGTGCGGGGCTGCTGTCTGGGCCCATCTTGAAGGTAGAGTCAGTGACTCACTGCAGTGAGCACCTTTGTGTGTCTTAAGCCTGGCTCTCTAGGGTGTGGCCTGTGCCAGTCAGGGCCTGCCTCCCAGACATGCCCCAGGCCTGTTTGGGAGGCAGAAGCTTTATTTTGACACAAACAAGTGGTTGGGAAGACCTGGTTCTTGGTATTTGTCTCAGCCTGAGTCCCCCTGTTGTTTATAACTGGGACTAAAGGTTATCACCAGGACAGCTTCAGCTCACCCTGGGGAGTGGGTCAGGGAAGCCCTGGGGTGGAGAAAACCCAGCTGTGGAAACCCATAGTAAGGTGGGCAGGAAGAGGGCCTCGTCCCTCCTGTCAGGACAAGGTCTGAGGATGACCTGGGAAGAAGTGGCCACACTTGTTACAGAGGAGGACTTTCCTGCATGACAAGCCGGTCTGTCCTCACTTCCTGCCTGCTGTCCCCACACCTGCTTGGGTAGCGGGATGTGCAGGTTGCAGCAGGAGGAAGGAGCACTGGGCTCCAGCCCCTTCCTCTAGTTGTTTGGCCAATTACTATTTTGCTGACTTCCTGTCACAGGGTCAGTCTCTTGGATTCTTGTCCTGCTTTATCAGCAGTGTCCCTACGTGTGCTGCTGGGATGGGGTCCTCTCTCCAAGCAAATGTGTAGTGTGTGTCCTGATGGCTTGACATGGGAGTCTTTTCTTGCCCAGGACATTGGGTTCATCATTCATGATGTCTCCTGCTACGGGCATAGCAGCTGCTGTAACAAATAGCTCCATAGTGTCCATTTGTAGTGACAGGACCCAAATCTGCTGCTCACTCACAGAGCAGTTCACTAGGTATTTCTGGTTCCATGTAGTTTAGGAACCCAGGCTCCTTCCATGTTTGGCCATCCTTTCTCTGGGCCACTGAATCCTCTGCAGAGAGAGCAGAGAACCCCTAAGTGTTCCCTTAAAGCACCAGCCAACCCCTCAGAGGATCAAGTGCTAACCTCTGTGGACAGGTGGCCATGTTGCCACATGTGGGTCTCTGTACTTGGGTACGTCCCTCTCTTCATCTTGTCTCTCTCTCCTTGCCTCTGTGCTTCTGGACACCATGCAGGCCATTCTGGCAGATCTCTCCCTCCTGGAGTCCCCAGATGGGTGCAGGTGCCCGAAGGAGTCATTTACGCCACGATCACCTTGGGTACTGCTTGTCCCCAGAACTGGAATGCCAGTGATGCCGTGCCTGATGCCTGGCTTGGAGAGATGGGTGCATGTCCCGAGGACGGCACTGTCCTCTTCCCGTCCTCATGCATGGGTCCTGCATGTGCGCCCCACGTGCTGTCTTGCCAGGGGCATGGTTTGCTCTGCTTTCCACAGACCCCTGCCAGAAATATGGATGAATGATTCCAAGGGAACCTGCATGGTTGTTCTGCCCTTGGTTCCTGAGGACTTTCCGCAGGACACAGTGGGGCACAGTCCTGATGGGATCACCTGAACATCCTGCCTTTCCTTCCTGCTTACCCTGCGCCCCCTGGAAGCCAAGAACCTGTTTTAAGAGAATCCTACATTTATGGTGTGCCGTGAGCCCTCATAGGGATAAATACAATTGTTAGTACATTTGCCCTAAATTTTCTCCTAGCTGCCGCAGGTACTACCACGGGCCGTTACTTCTCAGTTAGCTTCCTCTTACTGCAGGGAGGAGGACTAGCAGGTGTCAGAATTCTCCACAGAACACACAGGGCCACCTTAGGAGCCCATACTGGGGCTTTATCTGCCTTCACGCTGCCCTCTGGAGCTTCCCTCCCTTAATTTTTTGTTTCTGGAGGAAGAATCCCAACGACATTGTGTCATTTTTTAAATTTCACCTTTTGTACAGATGATGTCATATTGACAATGAGATTTTCCCCCTGTTCCCACTTCCCTATCAGATCAACTGTTTTGCGTCCTCTGAGCTACATTTCAGTCCTGACCTATTTGCATAGAGACTTCTAATTGTGCTTTCTCCCCGTTGCCACATCTCGGGGAGTTTATTGAGTTGCCAACTAGTGTTCAGTCATTGATGGATTCTGGGTACATTGGTGCACTGAGTGGATGGAATCAGACTTTCCTTATCCGGGCCCCTTTGCTGACAGCTAAATAGCACTTGAATAAATAGATTCATTCAGGTAACATTCCTCCCTCTTCTTTTTTATCTTTATTTATTTATCATGCTGCTGGGATCCAACCAGAGATCCTAACCTCCAGCCCCTCTTCTTTTTGGAAAAACTAGTTTCCTAGGATAATCTCTGAGGACTGGGATTATTAGATCAAAGAACATAGGTATATTTATGGCTCTTGAAAAAACAAGCTGCCCGATTGTTTTCTGAGAGACTTGTGTGAATTTATGTTACTACCAGCACAGGGTCTCCTTGGGGGTAGTGCTGATTTTCCATCTTATTTAATAGGTATCAAATTATAAAGTATGCAGGTTTTTTTTTATTAAGTCAGAAAGAGGAGTAGTACTACACTACTTTAAAAAAAGACATTAAAATAAAGTGTTGTTTTTAGAAATATTAAAACAAAATATATTTTCATTGGCACCACACCTAGAATAGCTGTTGCAGTGACATTGTTCCATTTTCTTACATTCTAACTCCAGTATGGTCTGTACCTTAGTATGCAAGAACCCAGCTATCAGGACAAGAGCTGCTGGAGTCTTCTGGGAAGAATTAGGTGCCCCATGGGCTCTCCCTCTTCTGAATCAGAGTGTCATGGGACAGAAGAAAGGTGTCACTCACCTGAGTTGGTGGCAGAACAAGGACTGCTATGTGGAGGTCACTAGGAGCTAGACCTTGGGCCCTCTTTCTGAATGGGAGAGTGTCCAGTGATCAGGAGGGAGCCAGTTCCCTGTCTGTGGGGACTTCAGGCTGAGCATCAAGGTTATGACAAACAAGAGTTCTGCGCTGAGCCCGGGGTTGGGCCGGGAATCCTGGGTCCCTTTTCCCCAGGTGCTGCTGTTCAAGGATTGATGGGTCGAGTGATGGATTGTTCGGTGGATTTTCTTCGCCTGGTTTGGGGTGGCCTTGAATGCACCGGTGAGGCCTGGAGAGGCAGCAGGAGCAGGAACTAGAAGCCAGGGCAGGTGGAGTGTGCATAGAACTGTGCCTGGTTCATGCCGAGTTGAGATGGGGGATTCTTTCACAATGTGAGGAGGGCTCAGGACTGCTCTGAGTTAGGAACCAAGTAAAGGGACATTCGGCAGAGAGGGAGGGAGCAGAGTTGGGAGGGTCGGAATGGGTTTGCTGAGAAGGGCTGTGACCAGGACAGCATACACGGGGCGGAAGTACCATCTTCCCAGAAAGCTGTTTCCTCCTGTGGATTACGTGGCCTTTTCTCTGACCTGGGACAGATCCAGGTCCAGGATAGAGACCTACAAAGCACATAGCTAGGGCTCTGGGGGCCTTTTCTTCCTGCCAAACCCTAAGAATGACAAAGTGCCAGGCCCAGAGGAGCCTGGAAAGATCCCCACCCCCGTGGCTTCATCCTTCCTTGGAAAAACAGGCTGCAGGGTTCGCCTGGCTTCCGGGAGCACACAGTTGGTCTGTGGGGCAGTGTGTCCTCAGGGGAATCCAAAGACGGAAAGGCAGAGACCAGGTTTTAGGTTATTTGGGTTTTGTGGCCCAAGGCAGCATGTGAGAAGCCTCTCAAAGGGAATTAGGGACAAAAAGTCAGCTGTGGTCTAGCTTGGTGGCTGTGGGGCTGTTTCGAGGGCATGAGGGGCAGGAGGGTGGTGGTCATGGGCTCGGGCTGCTGAGGCCTGCTGCCCTCCCCAAAGTCACCTGTTTAGGGAGACGACCTTCCTGCAGGGCCCTGACCAAGCGCATCTTCCTTGCAGAGGACGGTGAGGCCGTGAGCAGCTCCTACGAGTCCTACGATGAAGAGGAGACCAAGGGCAAGGCCGCACTCTACCAGTGGCCCTCCCCGGAGGCCAGCATCGAGCTGATGCGGGACGCCCGCATCTGCGCCTTCCTGTGGCGCAAGAAGTGGCTGGGCCAGTGGGCCAAGCAGCTCTGTGTGATAAGGGACACCAGGCTCCTGGTCAGTTCCCGTCTTCTCTGCTTGGGGGGGAGGGTCAAGGAGGAGAGAGGTGCTCCCTGGTGTGCTCCCAGGGGCTTAGAGCCTGTTGATGTCAGGAGACTGTCACTGCTTCCCAACCTGAAATCACACGCAAGATTTTGAGAGTGCAGAAGAATGTGTTTTTTCTAGACTAGAAAGATCTAGAAGTTTTCATCAGGCTCTGAAAGGGGGCTGTGATTATCACTACCTCCCCCATCCTTCCCATCCCATGTACCCATGTTTGAAAGACACGTCTTTCTGTCTTCTGGTCCTTAATCACCTTTTAGCCATTGGAGCCCAGTGGCTTCCTGAGGCCAACCACCAGCCCCAGTTCTAGCTACTGCTGTGGTCTGAGCAGCATGAGAATCATAGCTATCTTCTCAGAAACCATAACACTTTGAGCTACTAATTCTAAGTCAAGACCCATAAAGGAGCCAGACATAGGACTCTGATGACAGTCTTGTTTCCTGTTACATTAAATTAAAATTCACAGTTCTGAGCTGGCTGTGTTGGCTGTGCATCTGTAGTCCCAGCTACTAGGGAAGCTGAGACAAGAGGATCACCTGAGCCCGGAAGTTCAAGGTTGGCGTGGGAAGCATAGACTTCATCTCAAAAAAAAAAGAAAGAAATCAGTTTTAGGTCCTGACTTAAAGTTACATGGAATTATTATTCTCCTTTGGTCACAATGTACCCTGCTTTGTATAAATGTTATCGAGATGATCCTGTCAAACAACCCCATGAGATCCCCATTTTACATTGAGGGCAAACCTTCACTCAGGGCAAAGCCCTTATCTGGGAGAGGAAGAAGGTACCTTCCTTTCTTGGCTAACACATCTTCCTGGTGAGACAGGAAATAAGCTTAGTTTTTTGCACCTGACGGATCCTTTACTGGGAAAGCCAAGCAAGAAATACAAATACAGAGAAGTAAGAAAAGTCCGTTCCACCTTGGAGAGCTAAGTTGTCTTCAGGGGACATAAGCTCATGAGCTGCTTAATGATGGCACACGTCCGAGAAACATGTCATCCGGCAATGCGATTGCTGTGTGAGCATCATAGTGTGTACCTACACAAACCGAGGCAGTCACATTATTAGACAATTTATCTCATGATAGGGCCACTGCACATCACGACAATCCATTGCTGACCGAAACATCTCAAGTTGGGGCATGATTGTATTTTGGGAACCCCCTGCCCCCGGCTCAGAGCAGCCTTGAGCCATTTGGATGAGCAAGGTCCTGGAGCATCCCTACTTAAGGCTGGGGAGAAGTCGGATGCTGGGAATGGGATGGCTGGTATTTGTAGTGGAGGCTCTGGGCCTGCCATAGGGGGTCCAGCCTTCTAGTTTTGGGGGTAAAATCAGGCTCTTGGGGGGTCTTCAGCATTCAGGGGCCCCTGCTTTGCAGAATCCAGTGAGGCCAGTGCCCCTGGCAATGAGCATCTTTTCTCTTCCAGTGCTACAAATCCTCCAAGGACCACAGCCCTCAGCTAGACGTGAACTTGCTGGGCAGCAGCGTCATTCACAAGGAGAAGCAAGTGCGGAAGAAGGAGCACAAGCTGAAGATCATGCCCATGAACGCCGACGTGATTGTGCTGGGCCTGCAGAGCAAGGACCAGGCTGAGCAGTGGCTCCGGGTGAGCAAGGCGCAGGCTTCCTCCAGGCCTCACTCCAGGCCTCACTCCAGGGGCTCCTGCAGTTCTGCTCCCAACTGGGACTGGGCCAGTAGTTGGAGTCCACTTGCCTTTTTGCCCCCCATGAGGCAACACCAGGCTTCTTATTAAAGGGGTGTCTTCTGCTGCATCCCTGAAGTGTTTACCACAGGCTGTAGACTTTCAGCCAGCTGAACCCTGCGGTGACGTGGGCATGGTCATGCTCCCATCTTACAGGAATAGAGATTAAGGTGCAGAGGGCAGAGGTGACTACCCAAGGTCACCTGGCAAGTGAGTGGCAGCACCTAGGACTGTCTTACCACAGCACTGGGTTTCCCGCCACCACAAATGCACCTGGCCCTCTGCTGTCACTCCCTCCAGGGTGTGATGCTGATGAAGCCCCTGGAGAGGGACTGGCCACCCCAGGTTAAAGATGAGCTTGATGGTTCTAGAAGCTGTAAGGTCTGTAACAAGAAGGGACCCTGGTGAGGCCTATGAGGGCCAGGGCCACCCTCTCCCTCCTTTTTGCTGCCCAGTTCGCTGTTGCGGCCACATTGACACATTTCCAGCATCATTCCCCTGCTGTCCCCTGCCACCTGGCTAAACATAACCACCATGGGGAGCCTGTCAGCAGCAGATCTGACCACCTGATTAAAGTGTGGCTGAAAATGGTACCTGCCCCAGGCACTGGCTATCCCAAGTGCTGAGTACCCCAGTTTTGGAGCAGGTGAGCTGTTTTTGTGAAACCACTAACTGTTTTGAGAATTCTGGCCAGACCAAGTTCTAGGAGGAGCTGGCAGCTATCTCAGCCCTTATTGCAAAATGTCCAGGTGGTTTAAAGGCGGTCATACAGGATAAGAAGGGCCACCAGATGGACAGGCTTGTAGATTGTGGGGTTCCTAAGAGATTGTTAGCCCTTCAGAAAGGCCAAGGCTGGCATTCGAGAGCATGGGCTCTGGCCCAGAATCCTGGCTTCCTCCCTTTTGAGCTGAGTGATCTTGGGTTGGTTCCTTAATGCATGTGAAGTGCTACTGTGCTGCATCTGGGCAGAGTACGTGAAACTGGACCAGCACAGAGGTGACCACTGAGGACCAGAGTGCCAGAGGCTGATCTTGGGCTGCAGAGCTGACTAGGGCCTGGGTTTGGAGCTGCTAGTTTGCTTTTGAACTTCCTCGTCTCACCAGGTCTCCCCTATGGCTTTTGCCAGCTCTCCATATCCTCACCCCCACACACTATGTGCACAGGAGCATGGGTGTGTGCACGCACACGTGCGCATACACATTTATACACACATGCATGCACATGTGTGCACCCACACATACAGTGTGGACACGCATGCGAGCACACATTTCCCTTACCCCCAGTTCCCAGTGCTGTTCCCTGCCTGCCCAGACCCATCTCTCCCTTCCCTGACCCCAGCCTCCTGCTCCAGACTCTCACGCCCTCTCCTAAGACCCCGGCCCCCACAGTCCCTGCTGGTGGCTTTAAAGACAAGAGCGCTTTCAGAAGGCACAGCCCATCTGTGTCCAGCCTTCACAGAGGGGCCTGTCTCCCAGGTCAGATGAGTGCAGAGGTGACCTGGCTGTCAGGGCCTGGCTCCAGAAGTCCCTGCCTCCTACAGTGGCTGCTCAGCCTGCCTCAGGGCTCCCCATCAAGCTGCCTGGGACTTGTAGAACCTGCCCACCGTCCCTGGGCCTCCTGTTCTTCAGAATCACACTTGACATATTAAGGACAGGAATGTATGTGCCTGCCCTGTGCTGGGTACTGGAAACTCAAGTCCCCAAAGCCACTCTGTAGAGGTGCTCTATCTTATAGATGCCAGGGCTGGGGCTTGGGCCCAAGGTCACGTGGCTAGTCGGCCCACCAACCCTCTTCTTATGAAACTGTGTCATATATTCTTTGTGGAACAAAGACCCTAACTGGAGTCAGTGTTGAAAGTGAGAATTGTCTTGTTTCCCTCCCCCATAACTGTTCTTCCTTGTGTTCTTTGGCTTTTGTGATGTTAAGCCCATTCCACAAGTTGCTCTAGGCAAAGATTGAAAAGGAAGGGGACTTAAATTGCTCTTACTAATTCTGTACCTCCAAAGGGCTTTGCAATTATGTATATATGTGTGTGTGTGTGGCTGGCCTGCCAGCCTGGGCTGTGCCCCTCTGAGAATCCCCGAGGTGGCCCCTGGCTCAGAAGGGGGGTGGGTGCATTGCTGTTTAGTGAAGTCAGAGCCACCTCTGACCTTTGTGTGTCCCCAGCCCAGGCCCTGGGTGGCAGTGAAAAGGCTTTTTCCCAGGGGAGGCTGGGAGGGATGGTAGCGGGCAAGTTTGGAGAGATGGTAATGGTGGTCAGCTCAAGGCAATCGGCTGGCCTGCTCCCGAGTGGCGTGGAGAGTCCAGAGCCAGCCCATGGCCCCCACCGCCAGAGGACTGTCTAACAAATGGGACTGTTCGTGTCACCCATAGCAGAGCAGCTGGCAGGAAGGGGCTCAGGGAGCTGAAGGCTGGCTGCTCTGGCCATCTTGGGGCTCTGCTGCAAAGGCCCCTCACCGACACCCAGAACATGTGGGACCTGTAGCCATGGGCCTGTGCCACCAAGTTCAACCACTGCAGCCTCCACAACTGAGTCCCATGGGGCCCGGGGCAGGGGCAGTGCTTCTCTGTTCCTTTCAGCTATGGGTCTTCTCTGTACCCACTCTCCCAGCCCCGAGGGCCCCTGCCTTGGTCTGGCTGTGTGTGCAGGTGGAAGGGCCTTCCAAGGACCCTGGCCTCATTGAGGGTGTTCTTGCCTCAGGTCATCCAGGAGGTGAGCGGCCTGCCTTCCGAAGGAGCCTCCGAGGGAAACCAGTACATCCCAGATGCCCAGCGCCTGTGCTGTCAGCGGGTAAGGCTCTGCCCGCCTGTGAGTGAGTGCCATCTGCCCTTCTTCCACACCAATTTCAAGTGTAAAATTGGGAGCTTTGTTTTTGTATTTCAACTCAATTAAAAGAAACATACAATGCTTGGACAAGGGCAGTGACTTTAGTTTGGCAGGAAGAAGGATGAAATAGATACAGGGCTAAAATATTTTCTTGCTAGGGCGGGGGCAGTGTTATTAGAGCAAAAGTCACTTCGCCCTACATGCTGCAGCTGGGAGATTCATTCTATGAGGCTCTTCCTTCCTGCTTGTTCCCCTGCGGAGCCTCTGGGTGGGGCAGTCTTGACGTGTCCCCTACCTCTAGAGGGCTCAGGGTGCCTTTGCCTGGAGCCTGGGCTTGAGGTCAAGGAAATCGGGTGGAGGGCTGTCACCTGCAGGGTCACCCCTTAGGTCCCTGAGTATCTGCAGGTGGGTACCCTGAAGCCTGGCAGTGCAGAAGGCCCCTGTCAGGGAATGGAAGCAAGAGGGCCCACGCGTCTCTCAGGCCCCTGGAGACGTGCTGCAGCATGGCCACAGGGACTTGAGAGGGGCTGGGCAGTCGTGGTCTCCCGCATTCTGTGGCAGGGTGAATTTGTGTCCTTCCTGTTGAGGTAAGAACTGAGGACCTCTCTGTGGTGTTTCCATGGCCAGGTGCCACTCTTCCTGGGTCCTGCCTCAGGCCAGGCCGGTTGGTTGGGGCCATCAGCTTGCTTCCTAGAATAGGTGGTTGACTGGAATGATCCCGAGTCACATTCAACCAGCTACAGCTAGTCCCCACCCACCAAGTCAGTGTAGATGGAGATTATCCCTGTCTGCACCCAAGATGCATCTAATCTCTCTTCAATTGAAGTTCTCAATGTAACCATTCCCAGCCAGTGGTTCCCATTCATCTCTCTCTCTACACCCCCCCCCCCCTTTTTCTTTCCTGTAGCCAGATATAGCTGAAAAGTACCTGTCTGCTCCAGAGTACGGAAGCTCCACAGACAGCCACCCTGAGGTCCCAGAGACCAAAGACGGTAACACCACTGTGGCTGGCGGCCTTGTGGTGGGGAGGGTGACATTATTCCAGGATGAGACTTGGCCATCTGACTCAACCCTAATGGGTTTCAACAGCTGATTCTAACAAACCCTCCAACTTATAAACCATTGGAAATGCTGCATCTGATAGATCCTGGGAAACTGGAGAGGTGGCCAAATTGAAGTTAAGTCTCATGAAAGGCTGAGGATGGAATATTCTGTCTCTTCTTGTTTGCCAACCCTACTTCAAATCCTTTGAGCCATATAGTTTGTAAAGAGTCTCAAGTGCTTATCTGTTCTTATGAGAAGGCCGAGTACCCCCTTGACGGTGTGACTTTGGAGACAGCCAATTCTAGGGAGCAGATGTGTGTGCGTGCGCGCGCGCACATGCAGGCAGGGAGCAAGAGGGTTCTGGAGGGGCCGAGTTTGCATGTGGGTGGGCTGCGTGCAACACTGATTGCTTTCTCTCTCCTCTTGACAGTCAAAAAGAAATGTTCTGCTGGCCTCAAACTGAGCAACCTAATGAACCTGGGCAGGAAGAAATCTACCTCGCTGGAGCCCCCAGAGAGGTCCCTGGAGACATCTAGTAAGAACCCTAGCTGCCTCCAGGACCTAGGGCTGGAGCCCAGACCACGAAGGCAGGGGGTTCCAGGGCCAGTTTAAGCACCTCTAGGGATGGCAAGCACACAGCCCCTGGTTTTAGTTTGTCTTTGTTGTAGGTACTCCTTGTGCTGAGCCGGAGTCGGTCTTATTACAGTGTTGGATCCTTTGTGAAAGGGGAACTAATCAGTGTCCCCCAAGTGTTCTTTAAAGACTGATGCTTAGTTGATCAGTGTGGGGGGTGGGGGGCATGGCAGACACAGTGTCAGGACAGGGGAAGGCGGGTGGAAGGCACAGTCTTAAGACCTTCAGCCCAAGAGAGAGGATGGCTTTTCCCCCTAAGCATGCACTTGGCCTTCCTTGTGGCAGTCAGGACTCAGGGACATGGAGAACCTCTTCTGCCCTTGGTCAGACATGGCATGTGGACTTCAGCCTTAAAGGCAGGTGGAGCTGAGGAGGCTAGAACCACCTGGGGCAGCAGCAAAGACTCAGAACAGGCGGGCCGAGGAAGGGAAAGTGAGAAGCCCGTGTGGCTGGACCGGAGGACATTACAGGGGCTGGTAGGTTCTTAGATGTCATTGTCACTGCCCTCGATCCGGAAACCAAGGTCAGAGGGTAAAGACACTGATGTGAGGGATCTTAATCCCCAAACTGGGGTTCTCGACTGCAGCCCTCCTTGGGGCCTGAAGGCCATTACTGTCTGCCTTTGGGCCTTTTCCTCTTCCTTGTGGAATGATGTCCTCTCCCAAGAGTCTTTTCTGAGGCCCAGTTAGGTTCTCTTCTTGTTTGAGGCTGGCAGGATGGTGGGTGGAATAGGAAAGGAGTGGAGGAGTGGTGGTGCACGCCTGTAATCCCAGCAGCTAGGAAAAATGAGGCAGGAGGATCACAAGTTCAAATCCAGCCTCAGCATCTTAGGCCCTAAGCAACTTAGCGAGATCCTGTCTTTGGGGTTGTGGCTCAGTGGTTAAGCACCCTGGGTTCAATCTCTGGTACCAAAAAAAAAAAAAAAGAAAAATGGAGTGGTCTCCTGCTTCTCTGGCCAGGACGATGGGTAGTGCCTGGGTCTGTCTGCCCCTGCAGTCTGGGAACCTGATCCCTGTGCGTCACTGTCTGGGAGATGGTTGGGTCATTGCTGGAAGTCTACTCTCTCAGCCAACTATGCTCCTGTCCCTTGGGGGCAGGCCAGAGAGAACACAGTGGCTGTCCTCCCCAAGACTTGGATGCTTAAGATCTGAGCTCCTGCCTTTCCAGACCAAACTGCACTTTGTAAGTCAGTGTATCTGAGAAGGTGAGGAGCAAAGAGCTATCAACTCACTGCACAGGTGGAAGGAGGGTCCTGAGGCTGCATTTTACGCATCCTTGTCACTTGCAGGGACAAAGCTGCGTGTGGTGGATAGTATCAACTCAGTAAACACTTATCTGATGTGGGAAAAGCCTTGTCCTCTCCTTGGGAAGCTGAACACAGCACACAGCAACCCTCTGAGAACTAAAGAATGGCATGATGGGTGCTGGCAGCCCGTGTGCCTAGAGGAAATGGGGTCCCTGGTGGATAAGACAGACCTTGGGCATTAGAGAGGCCACGATGCAGTTCCTGACTTTGGGAAGCAGGTGTGTCCAGGTGGGGAGGCTGACGTGGAGGCAGAGTGTTTCACTGGACCAGGTTCCAGGTGCTCTGATGGAAGGCAGACCAAGGGGAGGAGGAGCTGAATGATGCACAGGCTGAGTCTGAACAGCTGGGGGATGCAAAGGCTGTCGGGAACCAAGAAAGCTGCAGCTGCAGAGGCAGCAGGGTTGAGCCAGCAGCTGGGAGATGGGGTGGGCAAGCTTCCTGCCACAATGACCTGGGTGACCTGTGGTTAGGAGGGAGTGCTGCTGAGGGCCTGGCTGCTTACACACAGAAAGAAAACTAGGGACTTTGAGATCCACAAGCTTCCATGCAATATGAAAGGCATGGACAGTTCTGAAATTGATGCCAGAGGACAGTCTTGTGAGGCCCAGAGGCCCTCCTGCAGCCATGTCCCCTCCTGCAGGTGTGTGGCCCCAGCTCCTTCTCGGCCTCACCCCACTGCATGTCTCCTGCAGGTTACCTGAATGTTCTGGTGAACAGCCAGTGGAAGTCACGCTGGTGCTCCGTCAGGGACAGCCACCTGCACTTCTACCAGGACCGGAACCGCAGCAAGGTGGCCCAGCAGCCCCTCAACCTGGTGGGCTGTGAGGTGGTCCCAGATCCCAGCCCCGACCATCTATACTCCTTCCGCATCCTCCATGGAGGGGAGGAGCTGGCCAAGCTCGAGGTACCACTGGCCCCTAGGAGGATGTGGGCAGCAGGGACAGCCAGGGCTGGTGGCTGCAGGTCTCCAGGTCTATGATCCTGCTGAGGCAGGATCCACCTAGCCTCAGGCCATTTTTAGTTCCCTTGTCTGTGATTGTTTGCATTTAAAAAAAAAAAAAAATGTCCACTCCTGTTCCAACCTCAGGGTGGTTGTGTTACAGGAGAGGGGCAATGAGCTACTTCCTGCACTTAGAGCAGGCAGAGTATTTAGAACGCCCAGAGCTGCCAGAAAGGCTCTAGGATTCAAATGGGTGCTAGTTTGTGTCACCACCAGGAGGGCTGGTACTTAAGAATGAGGACTGACAGAGCTTATCTGGGGGACAGGATTTGCTCTGTGATACATTTCTCCCATTCCCCACCCTCTGATGTGATGTTACATTTATAATCAGGAGGTGACATAATGCCTTGCTGGGAGCTCTGCAGGTGGAGCTGATGGCATATACTTGCCCATTAAGTCCTGTTGGCTTAGTCCTTTATCCCAGGTCTTCCTCCAAATTTTGCTCTAACACTGCCCTCTAGTGGCTAAAACATCCGCATCATAATAGCTTCCTAAAGATGAGCTTGGTCCGTCCATTTGACAATCGGCAAATATCTGCTCAGAACCATAAAGTGGAAGACAAGAGAGACAGATGCCCCCTGCTCTGATGGAACTTATATTCTCGTTTGTGAATGTGAGGATATTTGGCTAATTACCCAATTAATTGCTTAGTTACAGTTGCTGCAAACAAGTGAGGCAAGTACCAGGCAGGTTGGATGGGGACTGGCTGGAGATGAGGCTGGGAGTGGGCAGGGCTTGATCCTAGGAGTAATGGGATCCCTGGCCCTCAAAGGAGGTGGCAGGTTCAGATGTAGATTTCAAGATGCGTCATCCAGCTATTAGGTGAGGGATGGACAGAAAGAGACCTGTCAGGAAGCTGCTACAGTTGCCCCAGGCAAAGATGGTAGGAGCCTACACTTGGGGACCCCCATGAAAAGCAGTATTGAGAAATTCAGTTGAAAATACATGGGAGAAGGAAACCAACTACCATCCAATTGGGCTTACAGCTGCCTCTCCATTGAAGAAAAACTCAGTGTGTGTGGTATAATGCCCAAATGCTGGTTTTCCCCATGAAGATAAACCTGAAGCTTTTATAGAATTCCTAGATTTTTCTCCCTCTAAAGGCAAGAAACGATGTTGGCGTTTTAATAGAAGTGCCCAAAGTGTGTGTTGGATTAGAACGCATTATACCCCAGAGGGGAAACACCAAATTCACTGGAATTTAGGTGATAATTAGTAGAGCTGCTTGATCTGCTGTTAGGTCTTTAAGATGCCTTGACTTGAAGTCATAAGTAAATTTGAATAGTATTCCTTAGCAAGGTCCAGGCAGTCTGGTATGTATGGATTAGAGTGATAAACAGTGAAGTGAGCATCGTGACACAGAGGTGTCAACCTACAGTACAATTCTTCATTGTAATAACTGTTAACAGTTATTTCTAGAAGCACATATAGGCATATAAATGACCTGATATTTTGGACTAATATCCAGGGCATCACAGAGGTGGTCACAGATGGAAATGGGGTCCCTGGGGGTGGGATATGCTGTTGAAGATCATGCCCAAGCCAGGCTGTTTCAGAGACTTGACAGGCAGGACAGGGATCAGGCAATGGCATTGTGGTGGCCTGAGGGGGGAGGCCTGGCTCATGTCTCTCGGCCTCCCTCCAGGCCAAGTCTTCCGAGGAGATGGGCCACTGGCTAGGCCTCCTGCTGTCCGAGTCAGGCTCCAAGACAGACCCGGAAGACTTTACCTACGACTACGTGGACGCCGAGAGAGTCTCCTGCATCGTGAGCGCGGCCAAAACCTCTCTCCTGTGAGTTGGAAGGGCCTCCCGTTATGCCCTCTCCCCCTCCCAGCCCTGCTTCTAGACCCTGGGCCGGGGCCAGACTCTGGTGCAGAGCTGGAACAGAGGCTCAGCCCTGTCCTGTCCATCGGCAGGAAGATGTGAAGACCTAGGCCAAGGGGCAGCCCTCAGGGAGGTCCTGCTAAGATCTGCAAGCTGAGCTGGGCTCTGGCTGGACACTCCCCAGCTCCTAGGGCAGAGTGGGTTCCTGTCCTTTGTCTTTACACCAATTCAGCACTTGATGCCTCACAGGGAGGCGGAGCTGGGACTGGTGAAAGCCAACCAGGCCACTGAAGCAGAATCCATTTTCTTATGCATAAAACAGGACTAGTGTGGGGTGTACCCTGCCCCAGGGGTATTGTGCAGAGCCAGGGGAGGCTCCTAAAAGAGAGGTGTCAGGGGGAGGTGGCCACAGGATGCTAAGAGGAGGGGCATGGGGCAGGGGAATGTTTTGGGTGGGGGGATCTGGACCCAAGAGTTCCAGGGCAAAGGCTCTGGGGAGAGAGAGATGCCCCCAAACACATGGAGGCAGGCCTTCACCCCCATATCTCCATGCAGCCAAAGCCTTGCATCCTGGCGAGTCCACCCCCTGTCCTGGGTGCCTAGCGCATGCTGTGTCTGGCCCGTGTCTTCCAGACTGATGCAGAGAAAGTTCTCAGAGCCCAACACTTACATCGACGGGCTGCCCAGCCAGGACCGCCAGGAGGAGCTGTATGACGACGTGGAGATGTCAGAGCTGACGGCCGCGGTAAGGGCTTGGAGGGCAGCAGCTCCAGTCCTCCTCCTGCCAGCCCTGTGCACCCCCATGCTGGTGGTGGTCAGGTTGTCTCCAAGATGAGTGGTTTCTAAGTCACCTGAAGGCCATCAGTGTAGACCCCAGGTGCAGCCGGCTCAGTTCTGTACATGGCCTGGCTTGGCCTGCGGCAGTGCTAGGGGCAGGATGGCACCCTTAGCCATCCAGTCCCACACAGGGCTGAGGTGGGTGTCACTACCCAGCAGTTCCTGGCATGGAGCCTTGCCTCTGCTGGGGCTCTGCGGGTGATCTCATTGAATCCCACCCACTACAGGAAGCGCTGCCGGTTCCCTCTGTACAGATGAGGAAGTGAAGGGAAGGTGAACGCTGGGCCTGAGTCTTCCTCCAGCCTCTGGAGTGGCACTACCAGGTCTCAACAGGAGGCTTGGCGTGTCTGGGAACCCCGGGAGGAGACAGGCGCTCTGAGGCAGGGCTGGTGCCCCGTCACAACTGGGAAACGGAGTAATGCTGGATGGCATCTGCCTCTTTTGCAGGTGGAACCCGCGGAGGAAGCCCCCCCTGCCGTAGATGCACCCTCTGAGAGTGAGCTTGACCGGGTGTACCTGGACCTCACGCCAGTCAAGTCCTTCCTGTACAGCTCCGGTGGAGCCCAGGCTCAGACCTTCTTCCCCCCGTCTCCACCCTTCGATGATCCAGCCGAGGCCCTCCCTGCAGACCCAGGTCCGGCCCCAGATGAGCCCTGCACCAAGTCTGCAGAGAACCCAGAGCAGCAGGTACAGTCCGGTCCCTGCAGAGGGTTGACCACCTTCCTGTGTGCCCATCCTCCAGATGAATTTTGTGTTTTCTCCCCACACAGAGGCAGCTGGAGAGCCGGGAGCCGGAGGAGCCTTCCCTGAGAATCACCACAGTCAAATTCCAGCCTGAGCAGCAGAGAATCTCCTTCCCACCAAACTGCCCCGATACTGTGGCTGTCACCCCAGCTAGCGCCAGCCCACCTGTGAAGGACAGGTTGCGAGTGACCAGTGCAGGTACCTATGCAAGATCAGCGCTTAGCGTTTTGTACTTGGCTCAGAGAAGTTAGCCCTATTCCCTCCCTTTCAGATGAGGAAATAGGTTCAAAGAGGTATCTTCTGCTCCAGCCTTGGGTTCTGAGTCTGGGGAGTAGTTGGGGACAGCCCTAACAATCGAGCTCGGCTGACTTGGAACATCCCCTTCTGGGTCTACAGAAATCAAACTTGGCAAGAATCGGACAGAGGCTGAGGTGAAGCGGTACACAGAGGAGAAAGACAGACTCGAGAAGAAGAAGGAAGAGATCCGGGGGCACCTGGCTCAGCTCCGGAAAGAGAAACGGGAGCTGAAAGAGACCCTGTTAAAGTGTGCAGGTAAGGGGCCTCCAGGTGGGGAGGGCCCAGGGCTGGGCTCTCAGCTTAGGGGACATAAGGGCTTTTTGTCGCTGGCTTCCAGATCTCTGGGCCTGAGCCCCTTCACCTGCGGCACACCCTTGTCCCCTCTAGCCCTGTCTGAAAGGCTGAAATCCCACAGAGGGACCCCTGACCCAGCCCAAGCAGACCAGCAGGTAGCTGGCTAGCTTAAGGTAGAAATCTTAAAAAAAAAAAAAAAAAAAAAAAAAGTACCATTCCTGGGCCCATCTTTCGATGCCCTGCCAAGGCCTTGTTTTGAGATGTGGGTCAGCAGAATGGTCTCTGCCACACTGGTAAAGCATTGACCTCCAGACTCACTCCTTTGAAGTGAATCAAAGTTTAAGATACTTGTAAAGCAAATCTGACGCCTTCCTGATTGTCTTCCAAATCACTCTCCTATCGCTGGACAACTGTTTTCTAGCAACTTCCCTCTTGTAGAACCTACTGTAACCTTGAATTTCTGACAGTAGCTTTGTGCTCACTTAATATTTAAATTTTAGAGTTGCATGAACAAGCCCAATAGGCATAGTAGGTATGGGGACAAATGTAGCTGCTTTCTGGGAAGCTTACGATTGCTAAAGGAAGGTCTTGGGGTTGCAGTCACCCAGTTTTTAAATACTGGCTTTGCTGAGATAGTTGTCATGTAGTTGACCCATTTAAAGTGACCAAGTCAATGGTTTTTAGTATATTCATAGTTTTGTAGCCATCACCACAATCAAGTTTTGGACCCCCCAAGCCTGATATCGGTCATTCTCCCACTTTCTTACCCCAATCTATCATCTGTCACTCTAAACAGCCACCCTCTGTTGCCGAGGTGTTCCTGGCTGGGCTTACTTTTGACTCAGCTGAGACTGGAGGGCTGGGACATGAGCTGATGTGGATGACCCAGGCTCATCTGTGACGGTGCTTGGAAAGCCCCCGGCTGGTGTGAGGCAGGGACTCCCTACCCTTTCTCCTTAATGGACAGTCCAGGCTGGAGAAGAGAATTTTCACTATGGTTTATTCTCCTTGCAAATAAGCCCTTGAGATCCAGATGATAAGTGATTCTCCAAGTATCGATACTGACCAGCAAATAACTATATTGTCTTTAAATGTCAGTACCAAAAATATCACTTCAGATATTCTCCACTTAATTTTTCTCTATGAATTTTCCCTAAACAGTGGCCCCTCTTACCACTTGTCTCTGACTGAGGCCCGCGGGTGATCAATTACCACAAAGCCTGCAAACAACCTGGTGGCTGTTGACTCACACTTGGGACTATATTGACCCCATGTGGTGCCATCCTTTCCTCCAGCAATGGGCTCCTGCAGCCTGCAGGTGGTTTCTTAGCCCTCTTTTATGTATTTTATCCCTAGGGGCTAAGGTCAGGCCTCGGGAAGCACAAGACCCAGGGCATAGAGGGAACTGTGGGGGTAGCCAGAGAACCCAGCCTCTCTCATGCTTTAGCTGCAAGAATAGCAAGATCTCAGAACCCCTGCGAGCCCACCAGGAGAGACTCACCCTTCCAAGGAAGATTTCCCAGGCTTTGTAGAACGCTCACACAAGATCTGGACCTAGAGGCTGTTCCCTGCACACACAGGCCATCCCACCTCTCAGTGGAAAAGCTGGCCCTGTGGTCTGTGTCCACCTGGGCCCTCCTCCAGCAGGGGTGTGTGTAAACTCCTTCCACTCAGCGTGGCGCCCTGGCCTCAGCTGAAATCCTGTTCTCTGTCTCCAGACAAGGGAGTCCTGGCCAGCTTGGAACAGAAGCTGAAGGAAATTGACGAGGAGTGTCGGATAGAGGAGAGCAGGCGTGTGGACCTAGAGCTCAACATCATGGAGGTGAAGGACAACCTGAAGAAGGCTGAGGCTGGGCCCGTGACACTGGGCACCACTGTAGACACTACCCACCTGGACAACATGAGCCCTCGTGTGAGTGCCAGCTTCTCTGAGCTCTTGCTGGGCCTCCTGGACGTGGGCTGGGGGAAGTGGGTCATGTCTTCCTGCCCAACTCAACCCTTGCTCTCCTCCTGTAACCACAGCCCAAAGCCGCCGCCGCCGCCTCCACCTCCGCCTCCACCTCCCCCCCAGACTGCACCCCAGTCAACTCTGCAACCGCCCTCAAGAACAGGCCTCTTTCTGTCATGGTCACAGGCAAGGGCACCGTCCTCCAGAAAGCCAAGGTAAGCAGTCACTGCCAGCCTCAAGGGCCAGCAGAACCATTGCTAAGATGTGGCTCTTCTTTGTGGCGGTGGGAGCCAGTCCTGATGAGGGCTCAGCTCTCAACAGAAAGTCAGTGACTCTGGCTTCACTGTGCCTTTGATTAGCCAGAAGGCTCTTACACTTGATTCAAGTGTTCTTATCTGTAAGCCCCAAGGACACTTCTGTCCTTGACCTATCCACCACTTGTCTTTGAGTGGAATATATGGGCCAGCTGCAGCTCAGACCACAAAAATCAGTGCCTCCAAAAGGCCTTCTACCATTAAAATTAAATAAACAAGTCACCCAACAATGGATGGATGGATCCCATGATCAGGTCTCTCCCTGAGGGCTAGACAAAGTAGCATTAGTCTTTACCTCAATTGTACAATAAAGAACATGCCTGGAGTTGCCTTTGGACACTGCTCTTTCTGTCCTGCTAGAGATAGTTGGAGGCACCAACCCACTGGGTGTTCAATCCATTAGAGCAGGTGACCTCCCCTCCCTCACTGTTATGGTCAACAGCACTCTGCCAGAGCCAGGCCATCTCTTAATAGGTGCTCCTTGAAGGAATGAGCACACAGGTTTGAAACATACTCGTCCTATTTGTAACTGCTTCTGTGCTTTAAATTTTTCTGTGTATATAAAGGTTGCTACAGAGAATAACTTTCTTTTTTCGGGGGGGGTGTGCTGGTATTTGGTGCTCCAGGAATGGGAGAAGAAAGGAGCAAGTTAGGAAATGAACATCATCTAAAGACTTTTGTGTCATTGGGACCTTGGTGACAATCCTGCTTTGGTAAAGTCTTCACTGAAACAGCGACTCTGAGAAAGGGTGAGTCTGTTTAGAAGAAAAAGCCAGGACTGGGGTACTGTGAATGGAAAGCTTGGTTAAGAGCTGGCTGTGTCCCTTTTTGAGCCCAGGGGAGCAAATCCAAAATAAGGCTTCTTTGGAGACTGGAGTCTATTGGCTGTAAACAAGACATTGTATTTAGGGATGTTCTGTTTCTGGTTTTTAATCAAGTGTTTTTAGTGAAAAGTTTCTGGTGATTAAACTTTGGGGTAGAAGAAAAATTGAGGTATCAGGACCCTGTCCCCCTGGCTTTGGTGACTGAGAAGACCTGAGCGCCATTTCCAATGCCAACAGAGTTGGGGGTTAAACCGCCCTTGCCTTCAAGTTTGATCTCCAGTGTGATTGTGGGCCCAACTTAGTCTCTAGTGATTTTAAACAGCATCAATACCACCTGCAACATGAATTTTAAGAAACAGTAGCTGAGAGAAATATTTGGTATCCAGCTGAGGCACTGATCCCACCAAGGGTCTTCATTCCGGTCCAAGGCAGCCCTGAATCAACTGCCTTTAAATAAAATTGTGATACTGTATTGTATAGAAATGTTTAAAATTCCATCGTTTAGAACAGTGAAAAGTGTTTCTTGAAATCTGACTTTTTACATGACTATAGAAAAAAATTATCCTATGTTTACAGATTCAGGCCATTTTGAACAGGAGAATTATTTAATATGATGCTCTGTTAGTTCCTGTGGTGAATTTCGGTTAGTATAGTGTCGCTCTTCCTTGTGCTGTGATCACATTGTTAACACAGGTTGAAACATTTCATCTATACCCCGCCTTAGTTCTCTAACAAGGATTCCTGAGAGCTAAAAGTCTTTTTTTAAAAAATGTATTGTCTTTCTAATCCCAGGGCATTTATTTCCTATGTCATAAACACTTGGGGACCTGAACCAAGTGAGTTCTTTTTGTTTTTTAATAAAATGGTCATTGTATTTCAGGTTTTCCTTGTATTTCATGGAATAACTTGGGGCAGGGCCAAACATTTAAACTTCAAAATATATACAGACTGATAGAACCATAAGATACAATCCCAGCAAGAGATTTCAAAGTCCTCTTACACAAGTCACCAGCTAAGGCTAAAAGAGGATTGTAATAGTAGAAATAGTATAATTAGCAATGTACCAAATTCTCTGGAAACCTCTGCAGAAACTGTTTATAGGCAATTGAAAAAATCAATGTGCCTATAAGTTAAACAGACTCCTAAATAGTAATGAAAGAAGTTCACGGCATAAATGTTTATTTACAAAAGGACAAAACCAAATTCTGGATCATTAAAAAGATTAATGCAAAACAACAAAAAAGCTGTATAGAATTGCAGACTTGACAGAGGCGAAAGTACAGATACAAGAAAGTGCTATGGACATGTAAAAGTCTGAGAAACAGGTTTTCCACGACAGTCATCAAAAATGCTATATATATCCAAAAGAAAAACCAAATCTCACTTTTGGATGTTGATGGAAAAACATCATTGACATTCAGCAATGTTTTTTGAACAATGATGAAAGTATACAAATGTATAATTTATCACATTAACAGACTACATGTGGGGGGAAAAAAACTTCTTGAAGGGAGTGGGAAAAGCATACCATAAATCTCAATGCTCATAATGAACATTCTCATTCATCAAGAGCTAGGAACAAGCATCCTTCACCTGATAAAATGACCGTACTTTTTGTTAAGAACCAGTTATGAGTAAGTGTTATTACTGCTACTTTTAAAAACATTCTGGAGAAGGGAAATGACGAGAAAAAGTAGTACTCAACTTCAAAAGGAAGAGACAAAGCTATCATTTATAGATGGTATTTCCCTGGACACTAGAGTGGTCAGAGGGTAGCTGGCACCAGGATCATTCAGGAAAATAAAAAGATATACGATCCATCTTCAGTGCTTTAGTTAATGTAAATAAAACATAATTAAAGCTAGAAATAAATTTGAAATGAAAGAAAAGGGCTTGACTGGTTAGGCAATGCCAGTTCTATTGGGACAATTAAAAAGGTTCATCTGGCCAGTGGTCCATTCACTAGAAAATTCAAGCCAGGTGTGGTGGTACACACCCATGGTACTCAGGAGGCCAAGGCAGGTAGATCGCAAATTTGAAACCAGCCTGGGCAATACGGCAAGATCCTCTCTCTCAAAAACTTAAAGGCTGGGGATGTGGCTCAAGCGGTAGCACGCTCGCCTGGCATGCGTGCAGCCCGGGTTCGATCCTCAGCACCACATACAAACAAAGATGTTGTGTCCGCCAATAACTAAAAAATAAATATTAAAATTCTCTCTCTTTAAAAAAAAAAGAAATGGTAAAGACCTTCAATGTAAGTCCAAGTAATCCAGATGAGGAGCCAAATAGCCTTGAACAAGGCAAAGACCCTACATGACAAAATGATTGTTATTAAAGATAATGAATTAATATAATTGATCAGCATCTCCTGGATGAGCATGTGGCCCTGTCCGAGTATTGCCTTCTGAGAAGAACAGTAATAACATAAAATTGATTATCAATAAAAATATCCCTAGAACACAAATGACCCAATGCTTGGGACACCAGACTTTTAATTTTTAATGTCTAATAATACCATGGTGATAATTCTTTAAACACTTTTCAAACATCAGAAATCCTGAATTTCTTAAATTGGTATTTAAATTAAATTTGTACTTTTACACGTAAAACAAAATATTTATATTAAAAAGACAAAAACCATCCCCAGCACCACAAAGAAAAGAAGGAAACACTATGATAAAAGTTTCTGGATTTTTCTACTAAAACCTCAACTCTAAACAACATGACCAAGGGAAAGAATTGATTCCTAAGTACTGCAGGAGTAAATACTCAGTTTGCCAGAAAAAAATTGCAAATATTCCTTTTAAATAAATAACACCACCTCTTGAAATACGTATAAAAAAGTGTAAAAAAGCAAAAGTCCCTGTAAGTTTCTTTAACCTTTATTTGTTTAAGAATTCTACTCTGCCCCACTAAAAGGGGAAAGGAAGTTTTCAATAAACACTCCATAATTAACTTCTCGGTCGTAAACTCTTTTAAAAGGAAGCCCACCAAGAAGCTGTCACCCAGAGCCAGACCAACCACACAAGGCCCCTCCAGACCTGGGCCATTTGCACAGTTGACCCCTCCCCTGTAGCCAGCCAAGTTCATTAATTGGTCAAATTCCGGTCTGGGACTTTTCCTAGTGTCTCCCTGACACAGAAGTCACAAACACCAATAAGTCCCCAAACTAAAAGCAAATGCACACAAGAGATCTTCCAGGAAGTGAAAAAGTCTACACTTTTCCCATTTGGAAGTGCCATTGCTTCATGGTCCAAATGATATGCTAGTAAATACCTTCTGCTGGGCATTACCGTCTCACCACTTCCTGTCTAGCATTTGTGGTGGGCAAAATGAACCCCAGACAGCCATCAGATTTCCCGTAGTCTCCAGGATCTCACGTTTCTCCTCAGGGGAAAAGTGGCAGATGACATACCTCAACAAAGTACAACTGGGTACAGAAGTAAATATTTACTGACATACCTAGAGTCTGCAGTATCACCCTTAGTGATGTCAAGTTCGACTACTGCTCCAAACAGTGGCGTTGGTGGCCAGGGTACCCTTTGCCCTGGCAGAGGCTAGTGGGCACTGCATGGAGCTGGAGGCAGACATTCAAAGGACCTCAGAAGACACACTCCAAAGGGCAGCACCCTCTCAGCTCCCAGGACGCCCAGGTCTCTGTAGCCGCTGGGTGGGGTGCAGTTGCTGTCCTCCTGCAGGCTCTTGATGGGAGCCGCGTGTCTTGGGGGCATCTCCTCTCAAGACCCCTGGGGAAGGAAGGAAACTCTGAGGACATCAGCTTCTGAGTCCTCTCTTCAACCAGTCAGCAGTCCCTTCATGTCTTACTTTTACACCACAACCCAACTGTCCAAGTAGAAGATGCCAGATTCTAGACCCCCATCTGACTCCCTGCATACCACTCCCCAGCCACTGGAAGTCATCCTGTGTCTGTGGCTGAAAGCCCCCAGCTCCAACTCAAGTTGCCTTCTGATTTCCAGCGGATCTAACTTTAAGCTCAGGGAGAGGAGCCCCAGGTGGGCCTGGAATGCGGACAAGCCTCCTGTATGTCTCCAATCTGCTACCTTTCTCCCCAACCCCACCTCTCTGTCCTTACTCTCAGCAGATGGCTCTTCTTCCCACATCACTGAGCAAATAGCCTCAGAAAAGAACTCCCATAGGTCCCAGCACATCTACTCACCTGCCTGCCTCTGGGCCGAAGCCCCCATCTTCACCCCCATTACCATCCTCCTAACTGAGGTCTCCCTTCTAGTTCTCATTTTCCCCCAGTGTGTGTAGCTGTATATAGCATACATGTCATATGTGTCTGGTTTACTGTCTGTCTCCACCCTAGAATGGAAGCTCCATGAGGGCAGAGTTTTATTCTACATACGGTTGTCTTCCTGACACCCAGAACGCTATCTGGAATGCAGGTGCTCCTCCTAATGTCTCATGGGTGAATGAATAAACGATTGAATGATAGAACCTGTCTTTGAGTTTGTGGGACTTGGCAGGATTCAGAATACCACCCCCAGTGCAGCATGCAGAGCAAGAGCCCACTCACGGTTCTCACAGTGGGGGCCCTCCCAGCCACTCCGGCACTCGCAGCGGTAGCTCCCGTTCCGCAGGACACAGGAGCCGTCATTCATGCATGGGTTGGGTTTGCAGAGGTTAACTGGCTGTTTGGCTTCTGCAAGAGAGAACATGCCCACTAGGTCCATCCTGGGTCAGAAGCAAAGATCCCTACTCATAAGCCCAGTTCAGACACAAGGTCACTACAGTAGTATCTCTCACCTCAGCGTCTCCATTGTCCCTAAAGCAACAACTTGGCACAGGGCTGGTGCTTCACCCTACCTTGCCAAGTGAGTAGGACCCACCTTGCACCCTGCCTTCCTACAGTTTTACTGTATTATCATTGCCACATACTTTTTTTTGGCGGGGGGGGCGGTTTTTTTTTGGGGGGGGGAATGAACTCAAGGGCACTCCACCACTGAGCCACATCCCCAGCCCTAATTTGTATATCTGTATTTTATTTAAAGATAGGGTCTCAGTGAGTTGCTTAGCACTTCACTGTTGCTGAGGTTGGCTTTGAACTCATAATCCTCCTGTCTCAGCCTCCTGAGCTGCTGGGGTTGCAGGTGTGCACCACCACGCCCAACAAGACACATACTTTTTAAAAGGTGGAAAGAAGGTCACTGACAAAATGAAGGCTTGGAATTAGGCTGGCCTGGCCCTGTTGGCAGCTAGCCTGTCATTTACTACCTAGGTTAGTGTCAACAGAGGGTTCTTATGGCACTGAGAGTTTCCTTGACATGTCATTTGTTTAAATGGAATGCACTAATCTCAAGTTTGGTTCCGTGAGTGTGGGATTTACCACATAGGCTGGCACACAGAAAGCGAGCCCTCAGGAGCTGGGAGGAGCTGCTTTCCTTGTAATGATGCAGGTGAAGGCCCAGGTGGAGGTCCCATCCTGGGTGCAGCCCTACAGGGCATGGATTTCCCACTCACCTCCACATATCCACTTGATAAGCATGTCCCGGTGGTACCGCAGGTTGGTGTAAGCTGCTACGTGAATCAGGGAGTCTCGGGGACCAGCGAGCCTCCTCAGTGCCTCCCTCAGGACAGGCCCCACACCCACCACCAAGACGGAGATGCCATTATTTCTCAGCTTCTGGACAGGGACAGCTGCGTCTTCTGCTCCTCTCCCACCTGTGAGCATCACTACAGCCTTGGGGACACCAGGCCGGGCGCCCCTCTGGACAGTCATCACCTTGTCGTGGATGTGTAGCAAGGCTGTGCCGGCCGAGCCCACTCCCCCCAGGTAGGGGGCCTGGCTCACGGCCCGCAGCACGGCAGCACGGGTGAGGTGGGCATCTAGCCCGAAGGCTGTCTGCACCTGGCTACCGTACACCACCAGGCCAACCTGTGTCACGTCAGGGTTCACATCAAACTGGAGGGCACAGCTCCTCACGAAACTCTGCATCTGAGCAAAGTTCTCCGGTCCCACTGAGGCCGAGGCGTCCAACAGGAAGACTAGATCCAGGGACTGAGCCTGGCACCCTGCAGGGACAAGCAGAGCAGGCCCCTTGTCTGGACCTGGCCAGCACAGTGGGGACTGTCTGGGCTACATGGAGTCCAGGTCAGCCAGTCTGTTGTCTGTCCACACAGTACCCGCCCTCCTCCTCATGGCCACAGAACACCCAGCCCCAGCACACAGGCAGGTATGTGAATGCCCAACTAGACCACGCTCCCAGCCTCCCTGGCAGCCAAGTGTGGCCACGTGTCTAAGCTCCATCTGAGGGGGTGTGATCCAAAGTCATCAAGCAATTCCAAGTTTGAAATTTGCAAACTCAGACTTATGCAAGTGAAAGCTGCTGGCCTTCTCCCTCCCCTTTCCCTCTTCTTGCTGGCAGAGAAATAGTGACCTTGGACCTCAAGATGGCAGCCACAGATGGCTAAGCACTCTACTGGCTCAGGCCACTCAGCTCTAAAAGGTATGTAAAAGGGAAAAGCTTCTATCACGTGTTAGTTGTTGAACTTTTGGGACCCCTGTGACAGCATCTGCACCTCCCATTACTGCATGCACGGTACCCAGGGCACTATCATACCCCATGTACGAATGGACCAAAGCCTGCTTTGGGGAGCTGTCTATGGGGTAGTGACAGGAAATGAACAGAGAATTACAAATGGATTGAGCAGTGAGGACAAGAGCAGGGAACTAAGGGGGGCCAGTGGGGACAACATGATGAGCCTAGGAGAGCGGTCAGGGCTTCTCGGGGGAGGTGATACTTCAGCTAGAACTGCAGGAGAAGTCAGGGTGAGCTGGTGGGACAGGGTGCTTCTGAGCCGGGAGAAAGCCTCTCCCATCCTGCAGGGACCAGACCCAGGAGCTCCCAGCACCAGTGGAAGAGTGTAAAGAGACCTGATGAATGTCCTCTGGGGATCTGGCTGGTGTTATGAAATAGATGAACATCAGGTTTTTTTTAAAAAAAAAAAAAAAGGTCTGACTACAGTGTGGATGGTAATAAATAATCGTGTTGACATCAGCTCATTAATGATGATGATGTTCCACACTAATGTAAGGTGTTAACAAAAGAGGAAACTGGGGACAGGCCATGTGGGAACTCTCCACTATGGTCATAGTTTGTTTTCTGTAAATCTACAACCATTCTTAAAAAACAAAAAACAAAAACAAAAACCTGGCTGCCTTAGGAGAGGAGAGAGGTGGGAGTAGGCAGTCCAATCCTTGTCTTCCCTTCATAGGAGGGGGTGGTCCCCAGCCGCTGGGGAGAGTGACAAGGACTGAGATTCCGGGTCCCAGCTGCAGCTTCCCACCGCCCATCTCCCAGGGAAGCAGCAGGGGACCCTGTCCAAGGTGGAACCACAGTGCTGATCTTTACATACCAGCTGCATGATCAGCACTGTGGATCCAGCCTCAGTAGGGAGAGAGATTAATGGTTAAGTGGTGCCCAACAGAAGGAAGGACCTGCCCACTGACCAGCTGGCCCAAGTCAGGCACCCGACCTTACCTGGCAGGGGCCGGCTGCACAGCTTCCCCTGCAGCTCAGGGATCTGGTTGAACAGGTCCTGGGGGTCTGCGTAGACCATCACGAGCTTCGGGCTGCCAGTGATCTCCTCCAGCTCTGCCCGCACAGCCTCACTGCCCACACCCAGCAGCAGCAGTTCTCGGGCCCTTGCACGATGCGCTGGGCCATCCACCTCGTCCTGGGAGTGGGACTCGGTGAGCAGGACCACCACTCTGCGCGGCCGGTCCTGGCCTGTCCTGGTGGCACTCCCAAAGCCACGTTCTGCCACCTGCTGCAAGGCACTGCCAGTCAGGGTGGGGCCACTGCTGAACGGAACGCCGTCGATGCTCCTGACCAGGTCTGGAATGTTCTGGTACTCCCCGATGGGCACCACCACCACCAGCTCCCTGCTGTACCCAGCCACTCCCACGCGGGCCTGGGAGTCCTCGCCCAGCACGGCCTGCACGAACCGCTTCACAAAGGCCTTGGCCCGCAGGAAGCCCTCCAGGGTGGTGCCTGCAGAGCGGTCCAGCAGGAAGAGGACATCGATTCTGCACTCCAGGCTCAGCTTGGGGGCTGCTGGAATCACAGCAACACCTACTGCCACACTGTGGTCGGTGCAGGGTGTGGAGCAACCCCACCCAAGACACCCCCACACTGCCAGGGGCCAGAGACACCAGGTGACCAGTGACTGCAGAGTTAGACACAGCTGTAGAAAATCTTTGCCTTGAGCTCATGAAGATAGGCTCCTGTGTTTTCTCTTAGAAGCTTCTCTTTTGCCTCTTCACATTTAGGCCTATAACCCTTCTGGCAGTGGGTTGCGAGGTATGGGGTCAACATTTATTTTTTTCCATATGAGTCTCCAGTGAACCTAACACTACACTTTTAAAAGTCACATTTAACAAGCCCTTACTATGTGTCAAGCACGGTGGTAAGCAAATTACATCAACTTGTAACTCAACCACCTGTATCTGAAGCTTATATAGTCTTCATCTTTAAAAGGGAGGCTGGGGTTGTGGCTCAGTGGAAGAGTGCTTGCCTAGAACGTGTGACACTGGGTTTGATCCTCAGCACCACATAAAAATAAACTAAAAAAATAAGGTATCATGTCCATCTACAACTAAAAATATATTTTTTTAAAAAAAAGGGGTTTGGGGGCTCCTCATTTCTCTTTTTGCAGAAAAAGAGGAAAAGATTCTGCCCAGAACCAGGCCACAGAGTTGGGCTGGCTCAATGATGCTCCAACATCAGCCAGGAGCCACTGTCCTGCCAGAGCTCTGCCACCAGGACGATTTATTCATGAAGCACTTATCTATTCAGACACCACATGAGGTTTTAGAGTGGCAGAGTACTGGGAAATTAGGTGGCTCGAATACTCAAGGGCTGAGTCTATTCAATAGCTACAATGGTGGGAGGTCAGAAGGGGGAGCCCAGGCTCCACCCGCTCCCCAGTGGTCAGTCCTGCGAGTCCCACACATACATACCACAGTTGGCCTCCCCTCCAAAGGCCAGTGGGCAGAGGCAGTGGTATCTGTCCAGTCCTTCTGGAATGCATGTACCACCATTCTGGCAGGGCTGGGAGTCACAAGGGCCTGTCGGAGAGATACCAGATAAGAGCCATGCACACTGGCTCAGAAGTGAAGAGTGCTGGTCAGCCAGGGGCCGAGTCCTGCAGGGCCCAGCCCCTTTCCTCCCCATTGCCCAGTAGGAAACCAACCATACCACCTGGGGCAGAGAGGGGACAAACCAACAAGTACCTGGAGGAGGCCCTGGGTGGGGCTAATAAAGGACACACAGTGGGGGATTGGTAGGGCCCTGTGTGAATTACAGGCCCACTCAGGGACATGCTCATGGGCTCTGATACCAGGAACACAGGCCACAATTACTACAGCTGCTGAGGAGGCCTAGAGGAGCCAGGGGCAGCCATGAGTCACACTGCACGCAGCTTGCCAAGGGTGAAGAGCTCAGTAACATCCAGAGGACAGCGGGGGTGTCTTAAGACTCAGGGAATGCTAGGGGGCTGACAGGGCCCCTCCTTAAGTTCTGCCTGTGGTTGTTCTTAAGGGCCCCTACAGCCTGGCATGGCAACAGTGAACCTTCACATCCTGCAGTCAGGCAGCTCGGTGATCAACGTGGCCACCGCCCCTTCCTCTGGCACCTAGATTCAGCTCTTCTCACTTCTGTATCTTCATCTAGAAAGGGTGCTGATGACTGCACCGTACGCCACAGGGTTACTACATGCATGAGATGAATGAATCTGTGGAAAGTCTTAACCCAAAGCCAACACTCCCTGAGAGGTGACGCAGCATTTGCTTTTGGCTGCAAAGTGCCAATTATGAATGACGCCTCAGAGTTGATGTTTTACACAGGCGAGCATGCCTAAGTCAAAATCAGGCCCATTCTGAAGGGTCTCACTGCTGGTACCTGGGATCACCATCTCAGCCCGATTAATGTGCTCACCAATAATTGCCAGCTGCAATAAAGCCCCATGAGAACAAGCAGGAGATTCCTGTGCTCATGTCTCAGAAGGCTTGGTGAGCAGCCTTCTGTGTCATGAGTGGGATTGGGGAGCTGTGTCCTTTTTGCTTGAAAATATTGATATTTTACTTGGTGGCCATGTCACTGGAAATAAAAGTGCAGACTTTCCAAAGCCAGAAAGTACTGAGGCTGACTCTGGGAGTTCTGGGCTACTGTCCTGGCAGCTGGAGCATTGGGGAAATTCCTGGAGGCTCATGAACTGCAGCAACAGAGGCCTCCAGTTGAGCATCCGCCGTGGGCCCGGTACCATGCCAACTGCCACACACACGGCCCCATTTCACTGTTACAGCCCTAGGAGGTAGGAACTGCAAAAACTGCCACTTTACAGATGCAGAAGCTGCAGCTCAGTGAGTGGCAGTCACGGGTGGAACGTCAGATGGCTGGCAAGGGGCAGAGTGGGGACTCAGACCCCAGTCTCCCTGGTTCCCAAACCATAAATCCTCCAACTCTAACTTCTGAGCAGCAGCCCCATTCTCAGTCTCCCCCTTGCCCCAGCTGTGACTGGGTGGAGTCATGGGAGCAAGGACCATCCTCCTAGGGGCTGGAGGGAGAAGGGAGAGGCCATGGCTTGTGCTGGGAGGTAGGGTGCATTTGGAGGAAGGAGGGATGCTGGTGATAGGTGGGAACCCACTCTCTGCCCCTAGAGTGGTCCTGCCACTGTGTGGATCCCAGGGCTCCCGAGAGCCTGGGCCCACAGCACAGAGGCCAGTGATGTGAGAACCGACACTCTGAAAGGGAGGCCCGGAATCACCCAATTCCTGGAAGGCTGCCCGTCTGTGTGTGAACTACTGGCTGTGTCTCCAGAGACGGGCTCCTGCCCCATCAGGATGAGCAAGCTCACACAGGGATGGGCAACCACACACATGGGGTGATGTCAGCTTTCAGGTCAGCAGTATGCACATGACCCCCGGGGGAGGAGCAGTCAGGGTGGACCGGGAACCATGCTCGATGGTGCACAAAGGCGTTGCCAATTCCTCATGTTGGTGTGGGATTTCGCAGGGGAGGAAGAACATCCATGGGGATTATCTGCTGAACCTTCACAGGGTCCCTGGGTATGGGACCACCTACTGTGTGGAGGGGGGATGGGGAACTCAGATGTTGGGCAAACAGTAAGCCATTTTTATAGAGGAGGGAACCGACTGGGTATCTTGCCCTGAGTTTGGCACTGGGTGTGAACAGTCTAGAAAGCTGGTGCTCAAGAGAAGCCTGCCTGTGTCTCTCACCAAGGAGCAGAAGATAAGGGGGCCGAATTCCAAAGTCGTCATTCCATTATCAGTGCAAAATCACCAGGAGCAGATGAAGAAAGAGCACAATAAGCACGGACCTCCACCTCAGGAGGGCCTCGTCCCTCTTGCCCTGCTGCAGCCTGTCCCAACCCTGTCCTCTGCCCCAGAGCCCATTCCAACTCCACCCTCTGCCCCAGCACTGTCAAGGCCCCTTTTCAAACCAATCTGGACCCAAGGCCCAGAAGGAGCCAGAGAATCCAGGAGGCAGACCATACCTGGGCAGGTTGTCCTATAGCAGGTGGCAGGGTGCGTGAGGAGCACTTTCTTCCAGCTACAACCCAAGGAAACAGAGATAGAGAGATCAAAGGTTTTAAAGATGACTGTTTATAACATGAAAGCTGATATGAGATGCCAGTGCAGAAGTGGGTGGAGGAGGACTTCCTTATTTTCTTTCTGGACCCTACCCTCACTTTACCATCACAGAGAGGAGGGAAGATTTCAGACTACCCACAATGCGGGGAGTGAGGGGAGTACTGAGACTTGGGCCACCACAGTCAGGCTGTGTGACCCAGGTGTTAGTTTCCTTCTCTGGTTCAGGGCCCTCCGCTGGACAGTAAGACTATCTGTAGTTTTCAGTTGCTTTCCTTGGAGCTTCGATGATGAGGGAAGGGGACCGAGTGGCCAGGATGCCAGGCCTCCCCTGAGTGTCCCAGCCCTTCCTTGTATCTGATCTGTACACATGTGTCCCCAGGAAGCCCCCAGAGTTGAGGAGGATTTGCAGACCACCTGGCTCCTTGACATGAGGATGCTTGAGTACCGGCATCCTGTGATAACACAAAAGCCACCGTGCTGAGGTGGCTTCCACAAGTCAGGTGTCCCCATTGCTACTCTGAATCCACAGCTACATGAAGAGATGGGGATCTCCATCTCGTAGGTGGGGAAATGGGTTGAGAGGGCTGAACTAGGCTGACCAAAGTCACATGGTTACTGGCCACACCAGGGCTGAAACCCCAACTGGGACCATCTGACTCCAAAGCCCACACGCTGCCCACGGGACTTGCCCCAGCCCTCCAGAGTCTCTGTGGCCATGGACCCTGCTGCAGCAAGAGCAGTGCCTCAGCCCCCCTCTGTGTTGGAGGCAGCACCAGCTTCAGCCTCACCTAAGGAGGCTCTTGGGACTTGGCAAAAAGTTATCTAAAGTTCTCCAACAGGGCTTCGTCCAATAGGATCCTGTCCAGGGCTGCCCATCCAGAGGCAGGCTGATAGGGCTGACCCCGTGGGCAGGGCCTATCCTGAGGTCAAGTGGGATAAAAGCCAAGTGTCAAGTAAGAACTCGGGAGTGGCTCAAATAAAACATGGGCCGAGCTGCGAGCTCATGAAAGAGAAACCTTCCTCCCTCCAGGTCTACTCCTGGTGACCACAACACACAAATCCCGGCCCAGAAAACTCTGTGGGCCCCACCCCTCCCCCAGCTTTTGTTGGGGCAGAAACTGCTGACAGGGACTTGGCTGTCGACAGCCATCAGTACAAGGCTTGTCCCCACCTCCCTTAGGTCTGGATGCAATGCCACGTGCCCTGCAAGGCCCTTCAAGGTGACTCTATTTCTAATTGCAACCCTACCCCCAACCACCTGAGACAGCCTGGGCTGTGTTCGTGAGACTGACAGATGGACGCTGGGAGCTAGGCCCTCCTTGTTCCCCAGTGCTCCTCCTGGATCCCCCTTCGTCCCCCGTCACATGCTCTGTATCTCCAAGCGCCAGGTCTCCGAGTGCGGCTTTCCCTGCAGCTCAGGAGGCCTTGGCACTGGGGGCTTCCACTCCCACCCAGGTCCTGCAATGTCTCTGCCCCCAGACCATATGGACAAACCTGTAGAAGGGACACCGCACGGCCAGCACAGCGTCAGCCTGCCGCGACCCTCTCCAGCACAGGGCACCATCAGTGAGCTCCTGGACGGTCTCCAGTGTCTTGCGCTCACAGGGATGAGCCTCAACTCTGCAGTCTGTGTCCACGGCACATGGCAGAGAAGACACCACGAGACAGGGTGATGCCCCCACCTCACCCCCGCTCCCCAGAGGGTTGTTCCCAGGGTCCCACCCTGCCTCTGGACCTGGCACTTCTGGCCTCTCTCAGGGCAGAGAACCAGGGCCAGGGGCCAGTCTCTGAGCATCTCCTGGGCATGGCCTGCCCCACCTGCCTGTTCCAGACTGTGCATCTGTGTACCTTCCACCTAATGAGAGTCACTCTAGCTCAGGAATAGACACTGATGAGGACGCCCAGCCCCAAGCTTCCCGAGCTCCTCTGTGCTGACCATGGAAGGGCAGCAGATGTGGCTCCTTCACCAGAGCAGCAGGAGCCCTACCAGGTCTGGATGCCAAACTCTGGGCCCCACATCCCCCACCCCTACCCCCACCCCAGAGCCAAGCTCAGAGCTCTAGCTGAGAAACCCAGACAGGGGTCAGAGTCCAGGGCAGGGCGGGCTGTTTTCCTTGCCCTCAGGAACACTGCCCCACCCCACAGCCCGCTCCACACGGGCAATGCCACTCACCGCAGGCTGGGCCGTCCTACCTGGATCAGCAGGGCTGCAGAGCGCGGAGCTGCTGAGGGTGCTGAGGAGGCCGTTGGTGGCGTCCTCCACTTGCTCAGCCAACAGCACATGCTGCTCCGTGGGCTGGCTGGCCAGAGTGTGCAGCTCTCCCCACCTGTGCCCAGAAGTCCCGGCTGCACGTGATCCCACGCCCACCCTCCTACTGCCCACCCATCTCCTGGACCACGGGCTCTCTGTGGACAGCACCCCACTACCCAGAGGCCTCTCTGCAGCAACCTCCTCCATCTCGGATATGGGCGAGGACTGAGAAGTGAGCCACGGGAAGCCCAGCCAGGGGTCACCCTGTGCACTGTTAAAATCCAGGGATCTCCTCACCCTCAGAACCATCGGCTCTTATTAGAGGCACAGTCCTGACAGGTTCAGTTGTCTGATTTGCAAAACCCATAGCTAGAATAAAAGCAATCAGAAAGCACACGGAGGAAAGCGGTTCAGTAACAGCATGGGAAAAGCAAACCAGCGCAACTAGTGACAGGAAACACCGACGTATTCTAACTGGTGGACACAAGAACCCCCAGCAATGTGAGGCCGTCCAGGGGAAGCAGCCCCAATGTTCGACGGCATCATCGTCAGAGCCCATGACAAAAAAGACAAGTGGAACGATGATACCTGGACCTGAAGAAAGGATCACATGACACTGAGAAGCCTCTTTATGGGATGACAGGTGAGCAATGCAGAGAGAAGAACCCTACCATTGCAAATCCATCACAGTGCACCAGGCTTTGGCATTAGGGCAAAAACTTCATTTATGTCCGAAGTCACTAATGTGGAACTCCCCCTCCTGTCTGAATTCATGTGAAGCAGATCTTTCTCTCAGTGCCCAGCTCAGTGCCTGGCACACAGAAGGGTTGGTCTAGCATTTGAACAAATGCGACTGTGGAGGGAGCAGCCAGCCACAGCCCCCCTCTCCTCTGGTACCAGGAGTATGCTGTGACTGAGGCCAACCAGAATTGGATTACCTGAAACTGGCCCAGGGGCCCCTCTCCAGGGTGGACCTGTGAAGGCATGAGCTTCAGCACTACCCACGGCCCCAGTGCCAGCTTCCTGAGAACCAGGCAGAGAGGACAGCCCACCAGGCAGAGAGGAGAGCAGAGACTCTCGAGGGACAGAGAGAGTCTTAATGACACTGAAGCCCTTGGCTCCTGCCTACCTACCCAGAGAAGTGAGATGACACCACAAATTTCCATTTCTGCCCAAATAAGCTTAAGTTGAGTTTCTGTCCTATGCAACCAGTTTTGTTTAGAGAAACTGAAGATAATGCACCTTCTCAGGCTCCCAAAGGTTGGGACACCCTGTACACTGGAGCCCAAAACAGCTAAGTGGGGAAAAGACAAAACTCAGCGAGGAACACAGTTTTTCCAGCTCTCCTGCCACAGCTAGGAAGGCTTTCGGCCTTGTTGTGGTCCCCTGGCTGACCACTGAGGACAGAGCAGGACCCCTGAGGCACTTACCTGGGAAACCGGACCCCCACGGCAAACACAGTGATGCCCCTTTCCTTCAGCTGCTTGGCGGGCAGTGCCACGTGCCCCTGGGACTTTCCATCAGTGACGACAACGAGGAGCTGGGGCACAGAGCCATTTCTACCCCCAGGGAACCCTCTGTCCAGAAGGTACTTCAGAGCAAGGCCCGTCTCTGTGCGTCCCCCTCTGAGGGCACCGAGAAGGAAAAAAGAAAGAAGAAAAGTCAGCAGGGCAGGAGGTGAGTGGGAGAGACGGCAGGCGATCGATGGGTCCTGTCATCAGGAAACGGCCGCCGACTTCTAGCAGAGGCTCCAAGTGACAGTGCCACCCCCAAAACCATAACGATGGTGGAGGCTGACTTTTTCCATGGACTTAGGAGTCACCCTGTACTCCTGTTATGCTAGGTTACGATGCCCTCCCTTGTAAGTGCAGGGGTTTTGTTTTTTCCCCACCCCCAGTAATGACTCCAGGCTACCAATTCTCATCTTTAGTCTGTCATGCACCCCCCAGCTCCCTCTCCACATCAGCCCCTTCTTGACATGGCTCAGCATCTTCCGGAACCAGGAAAATAACTTAGCTGGGCCAAGTTGTGTTAAGAATCTGTAGGAGTGATGGACAGGGCTTGGCACAAGACTCTGGTGAGTTTTTTTTTTTTCCATGATTCATGACTTTGTGGGCCCTGTCCAGGTGCAGGGTTGGTGGCTGGAAGGCAGAGCTGGCCGAACACCTGCGGATCAGGCCGCAGTGGGCCAGGGCCAGCGTTCCTCCATTTGGCAATGTTTGCAGGATTTGTCTCATCCTCACAGCCCCATCGTGGGGGCTGTGGACTGGTCTTGGAACCTCAGCAGGATTTCTGCTGAATCTTGAACCAGGAGGCTCTTGTAGGTGTCCCTTTGGAAAGATGACTGCTGGTTTTGAGAGTCAGCTGGTCAGAAAACAGTAACTCACTCAAGCGGATTTTAGGTCACTGAATTGTCCCACCGTAGCCAAATCTTTTAATGGGTGGTTGCATGTCCAAACATGAGCACGAGCGTCACTACAGTGATTAAGAGAAAAACACCAGCTGGATATCACTCAAATGCTGACTACAGAGGGGGGTGGGGCACCACATTTTATACTCAGATTGTGCTCTATTGGCACAGACAATGCCTGTCTTAACTCAGCCTTCTCCAGAGCCTAGAGTCATTCTCCCAGTGTGAAGACGTCCAACTGACATGAAATGCAGGCCTGGAATTGTGTGCCAGTGTGCTGTGCTGCTCTAAGTTAACACTAAAAGTGGCTATTGCCCATGCAAATCTACTGCAGGCCTCTCTGCCAGGGTACCTCTCCTGGCTGGCTCCCCTTCAAGCAGCTACACAGGAATCCAGGCTCCTTTCATGTTGTGGTCCCACCTTCCTCTCAGTCCTCAAAGTCCTCTACTCAGCAGAGAGATGTGGAAAGAGAATGAAAGTTGTGTCTGGGAAGGATTTATGGAGCACACCCAGAATATTCTCTACTTTTATCGCTTTCTATCTTCTGCCAGCTCTTAAAAGGCAATTCTCTTTGTGGAGCTCTCTTTAATAAATGTCAAGAATGGACAGCTCCTAGAATTAACACTTCAACCGACCATACATAGCAGCAACTCCCATCAATTTACAAAACTCCTTTTCTCAGCCCGCGAAGACAGCAAAATGGAAACCAAGCAGTGCATAACCTGGTCCCACGGCTCAGTGAACTCCCAGTGTCCAGGTGAGGAGATACCGACGCAAGCACGTAACCCTGAACCACAGTCACAAAGGGAATCACTGTGGGGTGCAGCAGAAATAGGCTTCAGAGGGGAAGGATGGTCCAAAAGGGGCCTTGGTAAACCAGGAGGGGAAGGGAGGTGGCCTTTCCAATCAGGGGAAGGGGTGTAAGCAAAGACAGGGGTGAGCAACACTAACCGTGTTTGGGAGTTAGTGAATACAGCAGGGTTTTGGCATCAGGCGTGTCATGGAGGACTAGAACTAGAGTACACTAATGTTGGTGGATCCTAAATGCCACTAACAACTCACCCTGTGCTAGATCACACATTAGACACCAATGATGACCAAGTGGATTCTGATTCTCATGATACTTCTCCTTTGCCAAAGCTCTATATCTGTAGAATCTTCCTCTGGAACTCCTGGGAGGGCCGATTGCCTCCCATGTTCAAGAGATATTAGCATTGAGCTTCCACTGTGTGCCAGGCACTGCACACACCTGTTCCTGAATGTAACCCTTGCAAGTATGGCAAAATGTGCCAATATGCTCGTGTGACAGAGAAGGAACCCTGCTCAGAGAAAACCAGTAATAACTGCTGATGTTTACTGAGCACCTCCCACATCACCACACAGATAGTGATGACCACGCAGCTCATGACTGGTGCAGACAGGACTTAGATCCTGGGCCCTCTGCTTCCAAGACCCCAGTTCTTAACCAACCGGTTACTTGGCTCGTCAAGCCGCCTCTTACCCAGCCAGCGGAGGTCAGAATTCAAGTTTAAACCCAGCTGGGCTGACTCTGAAGCCAATGCCCTTTCCTCTCCAGAGCTCAGCAAATTAGAGTTCAAAAGCCAAATCTAGTAGACTGCCCATTCTGTAGATAGTTTTATTAGAAAACGGCCACTCCAATCATTTATGTATATCTGTGCAGAAACTATGTGGCCTGCGAATGTTTAAAATTGCTTACTATATGAGCCTTTTCTGAAAAGATTTACCTATTCCTGTTCTATACTCTTCTGTTTATATGTTCACAAAACTCTCGTCTCCCCAGAAGCTGAGGTGGCCTGGGACCCTGCAGGACTCCACCCCAGGATATCCCCTGTCCTCTGGACCCCTCTGATCATCACTGCTCTTTTTAAGGTTCAAAAGTTTAGAACCAAAAAAAAAAAAAAAAAAGCACTTGTTCTCTATGATCCTGTTCTTGTGTTTCATACAGACCTGCCCTTGACCCCTTCAGTCAGAGTCAGACTGTTTTCCTTTTCATTCACCACTGGCAGGGGAAGAACTGGATTAAACCCAGATTTTTTTTTTTTTTAAAGAGGGGAAAAGCACACATGAAATTCATTGCATCCCTCAGGCACGGGACTATTGCAGTCCAGATTTTTTGAGTGGGACTGGGCCTCCCTGTTCACAGAGACTAGCCTATGATTAGAGAAAAGTTAAATTCCGAGGACAAGAGCCCAGGTCACCTGCTGCATGGCCTGATGGTACCCACCCTTCATGCTCTGCACCTTCTCCTCTTCTCACCCCACTGGGCCTCTCCCTCGGGAGCACTGTCTGCTGGCTTCCAGCCAAGGTCAGGTGAGAGTCCCAATGGCTCTGACCTCTGGGAAACCAGAAGATCCCACTTCTGACTCCATGAAGCATTTCTATCTCCAAATTGAGTTCAAGGGCTGGTTCCAGATAGGGAGGTCTGAGGCCAGTGCACCAAGATGTGCCTAATTTCTCTCAAATGGGACCAACATGGGTGGTAAGTTGAAAACTCACAGGAGGCTATGTGTTTGTCATACATGGACTTTTGGGGTTTTTTTTTTTTTTTTGAAGGGGGGCAATGGAATCTGAATTTTATCAGCATAACCAAGTGATTAGGAATAGGGGCTCATGGGTCCAGGGGTTGAAAGATCACTACTGTGATAGCTTAGCCAGGTCAACTTGGAAAAGTGACTTAACCCAATCCTCAGTTTCTCTCCATATTAGGGTAGGGGAAGGCATGGTGCTGCCTGAGAATCAAATGCTGTGTCAGTACCTCCTAGGCTCTCAAGTGCTCCATCAGTAGCAAAGATCTTCATGAACCACCAGCAGCCCATAAGCAGCTTATCTTTGGAGTTTAGTCTCCAATTCTAGCCTGCATAAAATCCCCCAGGAGATTTAACACCATAGATTCTTGCATGCTATTCCCAGGGAGTTCAAATTGGTAGGAGTATCACGAGGCCCCAGAATCTATATTTTCAACCAGTTCTGCTCAGTCCCAAGTGATTCTTACAATCGAGCCAGCCGTGGAACAGACGAAGAAACACTCCAGAAGAAAATTCAGTCGGTACAGGGAAGTTGGTTACATCTTTGGTTTTTAAGCAAACAAAAATCCTAGAACCAACCTAAATATTTCCTTTTGAGGAAGGAGAAATGATTAATTACACTGTGGTAGCTGAATTCTTTGGATTATTTGATAATCATTAAAAAGGATCAATATGAAAAATAATACAGTGTCAAGCAGAAGTACACATCAAATAATATTAAGTAAAAGTGAGCCATAATTCTAACTATTCTAAAAGCTATGTTTAAATGTTAAATGGCTCGAGAAAGCTCTAAGAGATTTCATGCTAAGGTAAAGTGGTGATTGTCAGAGTCCTGACAAAGCTATAGAGGGCATAGAAGCCGCTGGATCACAGAAAACCAAGGTTGTGTTCTTGAGAATAGTGAAATGAGCAGAGCAGCCTGCACTGGCCAACCGGCCAGGAATTCTGACTCTCAAGAACCATTCGCAGCGTTTTATCTGATGGGTCATCATGGGGCACCATATTGGGAGGCTTGACTAATAACTTCTTACAAACAGTAATAAGGTAGTTGTCAAACACACTTTTAGGGTCTTGCCTTGGTCTGAAAAGGCAAGTGGGTCTTGCAGTTTGGTAGAGCCATTTGATCAGCCTAGCACTTAAAATTCCCCAGCAGATAAAAGGTGCGGAGCTGTGGGGAGGCCATCCCTCAGCAGCCAGCGTTCCTGAACATCTTCCTTTTCTGTGTCCTCAGTGACCCCACAACTATGGCCAAAAATGAGTCACTACCTCCCTCCCTGTTTGTGGCCTCTTACAGTTGAGTTAGGCTACTTCAGCACTGACGTGCACATTCCCAAAAAAAAGAGCCGCTTTTGCTCAGATACATAAGAGGCTTCGTCCTCCTCCCAAGCACCTTCATCTGGCACATTCTTAGAGTGACTCCAGGTCTCATGGCATGAATAATACTCTCAGCCCTAAGTTATGACTCTCAATACAACTGAAATGAGGCTCAACTAATTTGGAGTCGGGGAGGACAGCTGGGTGGGGCCAGCATCTACCTGTGTAAAACAGGGAGTTGAAAGACATTCTAGATGATCTCTAGTGCACATTTTGTACCAATTCTTTGAAATTCACTTGGTTTTTCAGATGAATCATTTCAAACAAACTCACCCAAATGGTCTTTGACTTTCAATCCTAAATTTAAAGAATTAGGCTTTTTTTTTTCCCCCTGCAAAGGCACATTACATGTAGTGTGCATATAACAGGTACAAAGTGTTTCCACTGCAAAGGCACATTACATGTAGTGTGCATATAACAGGTATGACAAGCTTATTAACATACTTCACTGACCATAAAATTCATCCTTTTACAATACACACATTAGTGACTTTTTAGTGTGTTCACAGAGTTGTTCTAGCATCATCACAAAGTCTAAAACATTTTCTTCAGCCTAAAAAGAAGCCCTATACCCATTAGTGGTCATTCCTCAATCCTCCAGCTCTGGCAGAAACAAATCTACTTTCTACCTCCAAATATATTTGCCTGTTGTAGACATTTCATAAAAACGGAATCTAGGGCTTGGTGGTGTAGCTCAGTGGTAAAACGCTTGCCTAGCACATGCAAGGTGCTGAGTTCTATCGCAGCACTGAAAAAAAAAAAAAAAGGAATCATACAATATGTGACCTTCTGTGTCTGGCTTCTTTCACTAACACTCTTTCAAGATTTATCCATGATGTAGCCTGAGTCAGTACTTCATTCATTTTTATGGCTGAATAAGATTAATTGTACAGATGTACCATAGTTTGCTTATTCAGATGTTAACTGCACATGAGCGATTGCACTGTTGCTCTGAACATTAGTGTGTATGTTTTTGTGGAGGCATATATTTTCAATCCTCTTGAAGTGGAATTGCTAGGTCATATAATAACTCTATATTTAACATTCTGAGGGACTGCCAAACTGTTTTTAAAGTGATAGCCTGGCTTTAAAATCCTATCACCAAGGTAGGAGGGTTCTCTCTGTCCACATCCTTGTCAACCCTTGTTATTATCTGTTCTATTTTAGCCATCCTTGTAGGTATGACATGGCAGTTCCCAGTCTGCAATTTCAAAAGCCCTTTTCCATGCAGCAGACAACTACACATAATAGCAGCAAATATTTTTTTAAACTGTATTTAAATCACCACCTGGGACATTTTTTATGTCATTAAAGGGAATTTTGAGGAGGAAATTTTCATTACACGCTACACGCAGCTGGGGTAATGCCCCCCCCCCCCCCGCCCCACCGTGCTCTCAGAGAGGCCAAGAGCTGGGCCAAGCCCCTCAAGGGAAGGATTTAAGAGCAGCCGGCTTCATCCCAACCAGGGCAGCATCTGATCATACATACTTGAAAACCATCCTCTTGATTTTTGCCTTCACTTCCTGTTGAGTTGAAAATGGATCCAAGGGGAATTCCAGGTGAGGAGTGGAACTGAACTGGAAGGCTCCCACTCTGACCTGCAGCGGGAGACAGGGGCCCAATTACAAATATTCCAGAGAGGAAACAAGGGACGAGAGAGGCCAGCAGCCTTGCCTCCTGGCCACTCAATGAATCCCAGAGCCAGAGCTCTCACCACTGTCCCTGAAAGAAGGCCCCAAGACCGGCTGGAGAGAGTGGTCAAATCTGACTGCGGTCCCCATTAATCTTCCTGACCCACGTCCCCCAACGCAGCGGGACACCCTGGCAACTTTCCTGGCTGAGCTGTGAGCAGCCCTAGGACAGAGCTCTGCTCACACTGGCCAAAGGCCTCCCGGGCCGACACTGCTGTCCAGTCCTGCTCCGTCCCATCTAGCCACAGAGGCACGACTGGTGAACGCCCACATTATTGTTGGGGAGAGTAAACTCTGCAGGGGATAAAGATGTGGCCCAAGGCAAAGGCCCACTTGCCCATGGCTAGCAAGGGTGGGAGCTAGGCCCCTGACCTTAGCTCTCTGGTCTTCCCTCTGGCTCCATTATTCTGCTTCTCAGCAGCCAACGCCTGCTGACCCAACCCAGGGGTCCGGGGAAGCTAACCCCGGCCCCCATCAAGGGTGGTGATGGCTACCACAGCGAGAGCCCACGTCTTTTGTCAGTCAGGCAGCCCCTCCAGACCTGCTCCTGCCAAGCTAGGCCAGAGTCAGAGGGGGGACAATCAGCCCCCAAAACCGAGATGAGCAACACAGGAGCTGAACTTCCTCTGCACTGAGAGAGTGACGGCACCGGTGAAGGCTCCGTGTGCCAATTGAGGCCACAGGAGAAAAACCAGAGAAGGGAAACAGTCGAGTCATCCGGTGTCCCTCACCATGAGGGCAATTTATTAATATTATTTGAAAATTAAAAATGCAAAGGGCTGTGGGGAATTTATCCTACAGATTCCCTTCCACATACATGAAACGACGATTATAGACTCACGGTACATTTGTATAGCGAATGCCCATCAATGGGGGTTGGCTAATTAGACTGTGGGAAACCCTTATGCTGGGAAGTTGGCTGTAAAAAAATAATATAAATCTCATATTTTTATTTTGACCTAAATTTGTATAGTCCTACAGTAAGTGTTGTTTCTAATTAGAGATGTAAAAGGAAATTTCATTTGTAATAGGGAAAAGCCCAATAAAAAAGGATATTCATAAAAAAAAAAGAGGTGGAAAGATTTCCAAGATGATGTGATGATAATAAGACAAGAGACAGAACACGGAGAGGACTAAGATACCCTTTGTGTAAAAGGGGGGAAATAAGGACACTATTCATAGTAGCTTGGATTTGCAGGAAGCGATTCTGGAAGGCTCAAGAAAACAGGCAGGGCACCTGGTAAATGGAAAACGTGTGGGCGGAAGACTTCGCTCTGAACATCTTTTTATTGAAACAGATGAATGGATTAGTTTTAAAAGGTAGGGGAAAAAAAAAACCTCCCTTGAGAACAACAGCTGGGCCTGTTTACTCTCCAACTTCAAAACAAAACATGCCGGAAAACAGCCTGAGTTAGTAGTTAAGGCATTTAATTTAATTGGTGGTTTGGGAGCAAAATAGCTGCCTTTTATCTTCAGTTTACTGTACTCAGAAGCGAACCCGCCCAGATTTCTCACCACACAACAGTTGTTCTGTCACCATTATACCATTAGAGCCAGGAAGTCAACTTCCTAGCTTTTAAGTGTTGAGAGGAAGACTTCAATCACCTGAAATCCACCCCAACAACACAGCGTTCATAAAAGGCCCTAATTTAAAGCTACTTGAGAAGCTCTTCCTAAAAACCTGAGAAAGCAAAATAAGGTGCGAATCAAATGCCTTGGACCTGGAGGCAAGAGGAGACACAAAAAGCCAAGAACGCAACCAAAACCTGAAGCCACAGAACACATGACTCCATCTTAAATCCCTTCCACAGCGTGAAGGTCTGTCCACGCACCTTGAAGGTCAAGTCACACGCTCACCCAGGTAGACACCAATTCTTTGACTTCCCAGGTCTTGCTACAAGAATATCTTTCCAAGTCCAGTCCAGATCTAACTCCCTAAACACTCACATTCTGTTTTCTTAAAAAAAAAAAAAAAAAAACAAAACAGAGTCATAGCCAGATGCAGTGGTCCATGCCCGAATCCTAGTGGCTCAGGAGGTCAAGGCAGGAGGATTAGAAGTTCGAGGACTTAGACTCCATTTTGAAATAAAAAATCAAAAGGGTTGCGGATGTAGCTCATTGGTAAAGTAACTCTGAGTTCAATCCCCAGAACCACAAACAAAACAAAACAGCCATTCTGGACTCCCATGTGAAAATGATAATCAGGGTCCCCCAAATATAAATGTTTCCTCTCACTATCCTGGCCATCTTGGGCTCTGTGTGTTTTGCCAATATGAAACCTAAAATCAACCCTAGAACTTCATGCCACTTTCTCAATGTGGTCTAGCAACACTGAGCTAGAGTGCTCCCCAAACTCAGGATCTGGTCCTATCATAAAGTATTTTTGTCATGGTTTTCTTACCCTTTCCCCATACCTTTCTCTCCAAACTGCCACAGCAGGCTGTCCATCTGCTGTGTGAAAGCAGGGTGTGAACTGAGTGTCACCATCCCATCCCAGCCCAGAGGCTACCCATGGGAGAGACAGATGGCCCATGGAGCTAATTCTGGGCTGAGAGTCAAGAGCCCCAGTTCCTCCACATTTAGCTCTCTTGAGATTGCTGTGTGACCCCAGCAAGTAACTTTGCCTCCCTGAACTTGTTTCTTTACCTGCAAAACATGCACCAATAATCCATACGGCTTTCCTCTCCCGGCTTTCCATTTTTTGGGGTCTCGAGGCCACTCGTGTCAGAACACACCACATCAATCCCAAAGTCAACAGCATGTTATCTTTATGTCACGTCTTCCAGGAAGAACTAGTGAAACTTCAGAGGGGATCATTTGCAAAGAAGCACCCTACCTGGGGTAGGATAGAGATTCAGCAGTCCTCTGCCTGGGCTGACTCCAGGTAGAACTTCCTGACTGCTCATTCCAGGGTAGAATGAAGTCTGCTATGGTGTCTGGCGATGACCCTGTGAGACTTCTCACACTCCCAAATGACAGGCCATTCCAGAGAAAATCTGGCCCTCATTAAAAGCCATGCTTGATCCTAAATTCTAGAGATTTTACTAAGATTAGCTCAGGAATGTCAGCCTGGAAAAATCACTTCCTCCCTCAACCTGTAGGTGACTATGGAATTCAAGTAATTACGGCTTCCCAGACCAAAATGTCCTTCTGAATTTCTATTTGAGTTTTGAGTAGGTTCACATGACTCAAAATCCAAAAAGTATAAAAACAAAAGTCTGTGGCTGGGTCTCCCCTCTGCTTATAACCCAACTGCTCAGTTCCCAGCCCCTCCCCAGCAGGATTCACTGCCCTTAGCCTGTTCCAAAGCCCTCGGTTCTTTAGGCACACACGAGCAAAGACAGAATGAATCATATTCTTTCATCTTCATTTTACATAAAAATGGTATCCTACACACCATTTGCACCCTTACTTTCTACCTTAATTTCTTCTGTGTCTTTCCATATGGGAGAGCTTCCTCACTCTTCCTGCGACTGCCTGGTGTTTCATTATGTGAATGCACCACAGTGGATTTATCTGTCCCCTATCAATGGACATTTGGATTGCTAGAATCTTTTACAAGTATCCATGAGTAACTGTACGAGCATTATTCTGCATGGGTGCAAGTGGCCATACAGTACCCCAGTGGAATTGCTAGGCCAAAGGTTCCAAGCCTTTGTCATTGTGATGAATGCTGTTGGATTGCCCCATGTAGGTCACACAGTTGACACTCCCCTCAGCAGTGCATGGGAACACCAGTTGCTTAAAGATGTGCTCATGCAGCATGCCACCAACCTTTGGAATTTTTCCTAATCCAGTAAACAAAAAGTGACGCATCAGTCAGAGATACGTTACAGCATTGAGTTTGGCTGGGCATCTTTTCACATGCCTAAGAGCCATTTGTGTTTTGTTTTCTCAAAATTCTGTTTATTGCCAATTTTTCTATTGAGTTGTTTAAAAAAAAAATGCCCCTTTTAGAGACAAGAGCCATGGCTACCACACTCTGCTGATGTTTAAGACCTATTACTTGAAGCCAGGAAGAACAAGAAATGAAAATAACTATCTGGACTAACTCACAGGACATCTTTCCAAGCCAATAGACAGGGTAGGAGCTGCTCCAGTGTCAAGACTCAGGTCTGCTCAGTGTGCCCTCCTTCTCATTGTTCTGCAAATACCACTTCTTTTTCTAGTGGGAAACAATCCACATGGTCCCCTCAAAACGTGGAAGAACAACTGACTCAGATTCAGACAGACTCTTCCATGACCACTGAGATTGGCCAAGGGATTACCATGTGACCTACACCTGTCCAATTGGAGCCCTCCTGGGGATTTTGCCCAACCTATAAGGAAAGAAGTCCACTTTCTTTTTTCCTGGGGCCACTAGCTTGAAGGATAACACAGAGCAACTCTGCTGTGGAAAACCTTCCTGGAAGGAGGTCAACCAAAGAAGTAAGAGTGAGGGGAAGGAGAGAGGGTGCTTCACAGCTCAACTGAGCCCTAGCCTCCACTGTGCTGGAGCCATAACTGGGATTGACCCTTTTGGTCTTCCCAGTTCCAAAATCCAGTAAATTGCCTCTTCTATTTAACCTGTTAGATGCCAAGTGTTCAATTCTGTTAATATTTCCATGAAATTGACACAGGTACCTTAAAATAGGTTGGAAAACATGATCTAGAGCTTATACACATTTTTACAGTAATATTATAATTAGAATATTAAATTACTATATTCTATATTATGCAATTACATATATCATATTAAGTTTTACAGGTGTGGGACAACGGGACAAAATGGGTTAAGTTTGGACTTCTGTCACTTACAACCAAAGACACCCTAATATGAAGATCAACAAGACTTATACTCACCCTCCCAGGGCTGATGTCCAGAGCGTCACATACGGTGATGGCAAAGTGCTTGGACCTTTCAAAGCTCCCTTTCCCGATGCTGTGAGAGCCATCCAACAGAAACAGGACGTCCATCGCAGCGGAGCACCACATCACTGGGGAGAGTGGGACAGACAGGAATAACTGAACTAGATTTTCCATATCACAAAGACTTTCATCAAGTCCCTGCTTGTGAACTCTAGTTTGAGCTCTGTGAGGAACAGCTTCTGGACCAGCCTTGGTCCCAGTCCTTGGTGCCACAGCCTAGACCAAAACACGATCAGGCACCCTGGTAGGTGAGGCCACGTTCCTCAAGAGTTCAAGTAGCAATAGTGACAGCTGTGGTTACGCCTCTCCTCTATGCCGGCTCTTCTTCTTCTTCTTTTTTTTTTTTTTAATATTTAGTTTTTAGTTATCGGCGGACACAACATCTTTGTTTGTATGTGGTGCTGAGGATCGAACCCGGGACGCACGCATGCCAGGCGAGCACGCTACCGCTTGAGCCACATCCCCAGCCCGCCGGCTCTTCTTGAGACACTTTAGAAACCTAATTCAGTTAATTCTCATGACTACCCTGAGACAGATGACTATTTTATATCTTTGAAAGTTTTATTGAGGAATCATTACCACAGTTCACAATTCATCCAGCTAAAGTGTACAATTCAACATACATACATACGTATTATATTCACAGATGCAGTCTATCATCACCAATCAACTTTAGAACATTTCCTATCGCCTCAAAAAGAAATCCTGTATCTTTTAGCTACCTGGCCCCCCCCTCCCAAATCCCCATCCCACCACTCTGCGGAGATCTGCTATTTTATTCTCACTGGTCAGATGAGGATAGCAGAGCACAGGACAAATCAGTAACTGTCCTAGGGCCAAAGGACCAGGAAGTGGTGGAGCCAGGATTAATCCTGGGCGGTCTGGCTCCCCTGACCTCACCAGAGGGTGCAAGGGAACCAGAGTCAGAGGAGCTCCACAAAGATGGCGCCCCCCAGAGGGCAGCGCTGGGGCTGCAGCAGAAGAGGGGTTTCACAAGAGAGGATAGGGGACAGGCAGGGCCCCTGGGTACATCCTGGTATGGCTTGAGCTCATGGAGGGATGCTGATAGAGTAGGAGGAGGAGGATCATGGAGGGACAGAAGAGTGGTTGGGTAGATGGTGGTCAAGTGACAGAGGCCTTGAGGTACAGACCAAGAAGTTCAGCAACATTCATTTACTGAGGTTGTTTTGGCTGTTGTTTTTGGTTTGGTTTTTAACCAAGCAGAGTGACCGTGGTCAGGCCCCTGTTTGGGGAAAATGACTCTGGTCACAGAGTGAAAGGAAGCCAGGAATGGGTGGCAACCCAGGAGGAACAGGGCTTCCCTGGGCCTGTCTCTGGGAGGTCTGGACGGGGGTTTGGGTGTATAACTGACTCACTTTTGCTGGCAGCTGCAATCTTCCCGATGGTCTCTCTGCTCACATGGACTTCTTGGAGAGGGAGCGAGGGCAATACTAGGAGAGAAGACACCAGGGGCCGTCATGTGGGGGAAGGACAGAGAGAGCCTTCACCTCCTCGTGGGACCAGGACAAACAGGTAACAGGGCAGGAAACAGATCGTCGGGAGGCCTGATGATACCTGCATTGCACAAGGTCCCACAGGGAAGGCTGGGCTGGCAGCTGTATGTGTGAGGCCCGGGTTCAGTCCCCAGCACAGGTACGTAATCACCACATAGAGAACATTAACAAAATGCCCCATTCCTATGAGGTATATTTGTATTTAGATTGGGGATTTGAAAAGTTTAAAATACCTGTAGAGGGGATAGGGAAGACCTGTGATTCTGAAGACCTCTGTCACTGGTTAGGTGTCCCACCTTTGTCCCCCATGGGTACAGCACCTTTCACTGTATCTAGGTACACCCTTGGAAGCCCCTAACCCACTGCCAGGCCCTCAGACAAAGCAGCTCCGCTCCATAAAAATTAACCTTGGAGTGAACAGAATTTATAGAAGCAGATTCACAGAAAAACACTATGAAAAATAGTCAGACAAGTGACAAAATGCTATAATTTGACAATTTTAAATGTGAGAACCTAAATAAAATTCTAAATTTAAATATTAGGAAGAAAATTTTCTGACTGTGATAATGTAAGCTGGCACAAGCCTTCTGAAAAAGTTTGGCTAAATGAATTAAGAATCATAAAAATGCTGACCCTTTGATTCTATAGTATATTGCAACTAGAAATTGATTAAAAGGGAAAACAATTTAGAGATGAGAAAAGGTGCATTAAGACCGTCCCCTTCAGTGTCATTTGTGCAAGAGAAAACAAAAATCCAAGCAGAGAAGTCAATGAACAAATGTTGACAATACTTGGTCAATACAATTAATATAAACAAGGGCTGAAAGTTTCTCGGTAAAAAGTTCATGGATGATTTCTTTTATTCTTTTTGATACACAGTCAAATAATAATTGTGGCAGATGAGCAATCAGTAATAATTTTTAAAATAAACCCTGGGACTGAGGGTGCAGCTCAGTAGTAAAGCACTTGCCTGGCATGCACAGGCCTGGGTTGAGTCCCCGGCACCAAAAATTTCAATAAATTCTAAAAATAAACTTTGAAGACAGAGAAATCATGCCAAGGAATCCCCAGGAAAGCCAAAGTTGAATGTCCTGAAGACACCAAGGGGCCACCTGGGGTGGGGAGGTGCAGGTATTTGGAAAAGGCTGTGCCACCACACATGTGCCACCACACAGAGACGTCCAGCGGCAGGAGTATCCAGGAAGCTGCTGGATGGATAGCAATGTCTGTGGGAAAGCACAGAGGACACAGGCCAGGTACAAGCCCAGGAGCAAGCCAGGGCAGGGGGCAGACGGGGCAGCACGAGGGTGACGAGGGAAGGAGGAGAGGGGAGGCAGTGGAGGGAGGAGAATCACACAACACAGGGCCCTGGGCTCACAGGGTTTGCAACTGCCAGGAAGGAGATCCAGGAGAGCGCCAGAAGAGCACGCTGGGTGGGGGTAGGGTGTGGGTGGAATACCAGCAACCAATGCCCTGCTCCACCTGTCTCCTCAACACCCCCGAACTGGTCCTACCTTCCCCAGCTCCTTTCCCCCTCTCTGGGCCTCAGTGCAAACTAAACCAGTCTGTAGTGTCCCCACCACACATTTGAACAGATAGTTCCTGCCCCCTGATGTGGCCTGCTGTCCCTATTCACGGAGACTAGGTCACCTAGGTCACTATGCTGAACCAGCAATGAACTTCACAGTTGAAAGCAGTGGGACATGAGATCTAAGACAGTCTGCACAGCTGCTCTGCTACCAGGACAGACACAGGACAAAGTACAGGGGAAGACTGTAGACAGACTTAAAGGGGTAACACCTTCCACAGAGGCAGGGGCAGTCCTTCAACACTCGGGCTTTCTGCCTCAGGGCACTCCCAAATCATGCAGGGCCGGCCAGAATACAGCCCCCTGTGGCCCATTCTGCAATGGTGGTTGTTCCCAGGGTCCCTTCAGGTACATTTTCCCTCCTCCATCCTTACAGCCTAGCCCAGCTCTCTACATGCAACATGCAAGCACTGAGGTTCCCAGACATGGGTCCAGGAATTATTGGCAAAGGGTGCAGTAGCTGAGGAATCCCCAGGATCCTGCAAATAACAGAAGAAATACAGTGTCCTTTTAAATGTCTTAGCAGGAGACTAGCCAACCATATCAGGACAGAAGGTCAGAGGAGCTCCATGAACAGAGGCCACTCACTAAAGATGTCACTCATCTAAATGGGTCCCTCTGCACCATGTGCTCAGGGGTTAAGGCAGGTGCCATTCATTGGGTGAGCCCATTGTGAGCCTGGGTGACATCTAATGCTCTCTGTGAAATAATCTAGGGACCCTGAAGAGTCTCCCCTGGAAGGGGGAGCTGCTTAATGCACAGACAGGCAGACTGAGCAGCCAGACTGGAGACTCCTACTTCTAGCCCCTTGGGTCTGCCCAGGTTCTAGAGGATAGGCCAGTAGAGATAGCAGCCAACTGAGAAGACAGAAAATACCTGTCACCAAAACACATCAGGGAGGACTGCAAAAGAAATGACACTCAGTGCTGTAGCCACCATGGTGGTATTATGGAAGAGCATCCTGGGCCAGTCTTGTGTTAGGTGTTGGAGATCAGAAGCTATGGGAGGTCTGACCTGAGCTGAGGGTCTAAGAGGAACTATGCAGGGCATTGAAGGATAGGTAGGAGTTTGCCAGGGTAGCAAATGTTTGGGTAAGGGGGTAACCCAGGCTGAGGGGGTAACCTCTATGAAGGGAGGGAGCAAAGGTGCCAGGCAGGACAGGAAGGAGAGTGGAGCTGCAGTACAAAGTGTGCAGGAGAAGGGGTGCCACAGGGGACCCGAGACAAGATGGTATTACACAGGACCTGTCAAGAGCAATGAAAAATCACTTAAAAGTCTTAGGTGGGGTTGATAAGGGTCCAGACATGATCCGATTTGCATTTTTTAAATGGCTGCTATGTGAAAAATGGTTTGGAGGAGGATCTAGGGAACCCAGCTGTCAAGTCAGGAGGCTACCTCAGTGGTCCAAGCCCAAGATGATGGGGCTTCGGCTAGGGAGGTGAACATAAAGTGGAGACATAAATGGATCTAAAAGTTAAAACCAACAGTGTCTGAAGCAAATCAGATGTCCAATGTCTTACCCCCTCCGCAAAAAAAAAAAAAAAAAAAAAAAAAAAAATCTTACCTCTGGAAAACAGGAAAATACAGATGGCTTCCAGCAACAAGAAAGAGGGCATGTTGACGTAACTACAGGGTCAGGAAAAGAAAAGCAGCATTAGTAATGAATCCTGTGAACAGTTCAAGTCATGCCATCGAAGGAGATGACAACTATTTAGCTTTTTGAGGCCGCAAATAGGACCCTGAAGGCCCCTCTTTGCCATCATACAGTCACCTGGAGAAGACACCGATTCCCAAAAAGCCACTTTACTCCAACAACTTGGACTTTCCGCAGCCATCTTTCTCAGAATACCACACCTGCCCCCAACCCACTCCGGCTCCTCTTACAGCCCCTGAGAGGGCTCTGCAGAGTTCAGAGTCCTGGTGCTCAGCCCGGCCGGCCACTTGTGCCTGGGTAAAATGACTCCCCTTTTAGGGGTCTGCATTTCTTCATGAGGAGTTAGAAGCTGACAAGTTGAAGATTTGAGCTCAATGACCTCATTTTCTGAAACCTAGCAAGTCACCCAAACTTTCCCTAGCTGAGACAGTTGAAGAAAGTCTGCATTTTCTACATTATATGGAAACAGTAATCTAGCTGAAGGGATAAAAGTTCTTTTTTTTTTTTTTTAATTTTTATGGTTGAAGAATTCTCCTAGTCTGGGTAATATTCAATGCCATGAGGCCTTAAGGGTGGTATAAAGAAAGTGAATTTTCGTAAGAAACAATAGACCAATAAGGTAACTGATTCCGTAAGAGCACACACCTGAGATTTACTTCTAATTTTAGCTGTGAGGTCATCTCAAGCTGCTCACAGAGCTCCCTCAACCTGCACTACACCCAGATGACTTCTCTCCTTGTCTGACATGCTCCGCCACTTCTGCTGGGGCATAATGTGAGTCCCCAGCTGCAAGAACAGCACACTTCTCAGATTTGACATTCAGAGGATTGACAGGGCAGGTTAAGAGCTGCCCTAAAAATCAAGATCACCCAGGAAATGTTGCTGCTTCTGATTTACAGGAAAGCCTAAAACAACCCAAGTCATGCTCATGAAGGTGCTGTTCTGGGCCTTTCTTGGAATTGCAGGGAATCTGAATATGCAGTGCATGTGGGCTGGGGGTGTTTTCAGGGGACGGCTCACCCTTGGGCTTCATTCCCCCCGCCCCCAGGGGAGCAGAGAAGGGGAATGACAGGTCACTGTATAATGGAAAAGGAGACTGAGCAAGGCGTACCCAGAGACAGATGAAAGAGGTGGTTGAGAATCCAAAGGAGAAGGGACCCAGGAGGTCACACAGTGAGGTCTCCAGCTCCCAAACCACATGCTTCCCTCTCACCACGGAGCCAGGTCAGCTCAGGGGAACTTGAACCTCCTCTTACCTCAGAGCTCCACCCACTACAGGGCAGATAGTGTGGCTTCTTCACTCAGGTAGGGGCCACACCTGCCCCATGGTGGCCGAGAGTCTGCAACACAAATCCTGAGTCCCTCGTTCTCACCCTGATGCCGTGACCCTGATAGAGGTTGTGGTTCCTCACTTGCAAAATGAGGGGGTTGGACCAGATGCTGCAAAGTGTCTTCTGGTTTTACAAATCCCATTCCCCCTCCACTGTGGGCCCGGATGGTGAGACCTTACTCCATCCACTCCTGGGATTTCACGTTACCTAAACAAATTACACCAGCTGCCCAGACTAGCTGGGTCTGTGTAAGACTAAGAGGTTCCAGTCTTAACCTAAGCAAAACCTGTATCCAATGTTGCAAGAGTGAGGACTCAGGCACTGTCTGGCCGCAATGGAAGGGACGCATGTAACCAGAAAGGCTGTGGGCCTGTCGTGGGGCTCACGTGCCTCCTGTCAGCTTCCAGCCCAGGTGCACACCAGCAAGGCAACTTGGGACTTTCTCCCAAGCACGAGTTTTCCCTCCTGCCACCAAGGAGTCAGGCAGCGGGATGAGGGGCAGTGGGAAAGAGTTTCTCAGAGCTGTCCTGGCCTTAGGTTAGGGGCAGTTTTCTGCCCTTACAGCTTCCAACCTTGGGCACATGCAGGAGAGTGAGGCTCAGACCTGCAGATAATTTATAAGAACGAGGGTTAAGGCACCACCTTCCCCGCTTTCTTCCAGGATAAAGAGGACCGGAGCAGAGGAGGTCCCTGCTGCATGGTGAGGCGCCCAGGGAGCAGGCCCACGCCCTCCATGCCATGACACAAGCCCGGGTGACTTCATCTCACCCTATCAAGTGCCTCTGCTTGCCCAGTCGGATGTTTTTTGAGTCTCCCAAGTTATTGCTCATTAAAACAGTAGCTTGTTGATGTTGGCAATCTTCGAATGAATGCCGCAGGTCAAATGCCCCCTTGCAAATATCGAGATCAGACGGCACTGGCCTGGCAGCTCTCTTTTGTCCCCTCTAACACAACCCCTATGGTCATGTACTAAAGCTGCCCCATGATGCACTTGTTTTGACTGTCAGGTGGCAAATGCTGAAGAGTAAGGATTGTATCATAGTCTGTGCTGAAGCCTGGTGACCCGTAGGTGCCTGGTGCACAGAAGGTGAGGCACAGACTTGCTGGGTCCACAAAGCACTGCAAGGTCCACCGTCGAGGGCCTGAGGGCACTTGCAGGTGCATCTTCATGCTCAGTGCATTTATGTTTTGTGGGAGTGGGGTGTTGGAGTTTGAGCACAGGGCCACTTTACCACCAAGTTACACCCCCAGTCAGTCTATTTTATTTTTTGAGACAGAGTCTCACTAAGTTGCTGAGGCTGGCCTTAACTTTGTGATCCTCCCACCTCAGCCTCCAGAGTCACTGGGATAACAGGCATGTGCCCCATCTTTTTAATAATAAGAAAGAAACAAATGCTATTTCAATGTGAGCTCTCTTTGACTCTTCCCATCCAATCAACTCTTTTTGCTGTTTGTTTTTTTGAGAGAGGATTTCACTATGTTGCCCAGGCTGGCCTTGAACTCCTGGGCTCAAGTGGTCCTCCTGCTTCAGCCTCCCAAGTAGCTGGGACCATACCCGTCCTAGAAAAAATTTTTTAAACAAGGATGTATTCCACAGCAAAAATCAACCATGACCACCATCTAGTGAGCACTTACTGCATGCCTGCCAGCAAGTTCTATAAGTCCATACACTTTCTCCTAACCAGCCAACGAGGGTATATTATTCCTATTTTACAGATGAGAAAATTGAGGTCTAGAGAAGTTTTTTTTGTCCCATGTGACAGTTAATCAGTGGATCAGATTCCAAGCTGGACTCCCAGTGGTCTGTTCAATCCATCACCTTCCACCTTACAGAATCTGAGGAAAGACTCTCTTGAATATTCAAAGAAGGAGAATTGTTGGAGAAAAGGGGCAAGAGAGGACACTGTGGCAGAAGTGTAGGCTCCAGATAAAAGGCTATGGGCAGCAATGGGGAACAGAAGTAGACATCTGCCACCCTGAATCCTGCCCTCTGGCGGTTTTCCACCAGCTAATACCTGCCAGCAACTTCCACAACGGGCAGGAGCAGGCGCTTTCCAGGGTGGCCCTCCACATTCTTGTGCAAAGTCGAGGAGAGTGATCTTCATGCCAGGGACAGGAACAGACCTTGGTTCCCAGGTACACGGTGTCAAGCCTTTTCCATTACAAGGCACCTTGTTCGTCACCTACGTTCCTTTCTGTTCCATTACTCATGCTGACCCCTCATGTTACCCACCCCCCGTGGCCAGGCTTTCACAGATGGAGTTAGGAGTGCCTCGCTCCTGATCTTCTCATCAGATAGTTGCTGTGGGGCCCTGGTTCCACACAGGCCCCCGGCAGCATCTGGAACAGTGGAGGAGTGAAGTTTGCTGCAGGATGCCCCCCAACATACGCACACCCGCTCCACCTCGTCCTAGACAGGGATCACATCCCCCATGCTGCAGCAAGAAGCAAAGGCCCAAACAAGGCTGCTTTTAAAAGAAGGGTTGGATCTGTGATAGCTGAAGGCAGCAGCGTCCAGGACAATGTCCACTTTCTCTTCAATGATAGGCAACCGGGTGAGCGTAGGATGAAAAAAAAAAAAAAAAGCCATTTCCGTTCCCTTGGAAAATGCAACTATATATTAGATTAGCCCTTGGCAGCCTTCTCCAAATCAGGATGGAAATCTGAGCCCTTTACAAGAGCAGTCCACACCTGAACAGGAAGACTAAAATTGGAGGCAAGAGTCTCCAGCCAAGAAGTCCTTTCTGACTTTTGCTATAACAATCATCTTCCTTTTCCATTGGTAGAATATTTGACTCAGACTCTGAAAACACACTTCTGGTTTGACATGACAGGGACAGTGTTTTTTGTGTGGTTTTTGCTGTTGTTGTTTTTGGAGACAGGGTCTCACTACATTGCCCAGGATGACCTGACTACAGGCATGCACCACCATGCCCAGTTAGAGCATTTTAAAAGCTACCCAGGAAGTGTCACAGTCTCCCTAAAAGAATCAGCAAGTTTCCAGAACACAACATACTGTCAACCAAAAGCCAGCACCAAGGGGTGAACGTTGTGCCATTTTGGATTCCTTGGGTATCAATCCAGGGCCTCTCACTTTCCTCTCACTGCTAAGTGACAGTTTTAGACAACAGATCTTCATGTTTGTTTGGCTGATATTTGAAATGCTTTACGTTGCTGAGGACCCAAATTCCCTGTAGTGGAACTCTGGAGAATTCTGAGTTGTGGGGGAATACACACACAGGACTGGAAGTACCGAAAGAGAATTCCAGCCCAGCTCTTTCTAGCAGCTGGGTGACTCCGCAAGCAACAACCTCCCCTGCCTCAGTTTCCATCTGTCGGATGGGGAGAATCTGGGTTTCACAGACTCGTTGTAAAGGACCCAGTGAGGCAGTGTGGGAAAGTCCTTGCTAAATGGTAGACGCTCCTTTTCTAAATCAATGTCAAAAGGTTATTACATTTAACATGTTCACTGAACAAAATCCTTAACCCTGTAAGGTAGATGTTATCGTCTCCATTTTTATAGAAGAGGAAAACAATCTTGGAGAAGGTGGGGCTCAAGGCCACAGACCTAGCAAACCACATACTTGGAGTCCAGCCCAGATCTCAGCCTTGAGAAGGGCGCAGTACCTTGGTGGAGTGGAAGGAGCAGCGCTCAGACATCATAACTGCACATGAACTTTTCTGGTTAATTCCTTCACTTCAGTCTCTCAATTTCCTTCTGTACAATGCAGTGACACCACCCACTTCTTTACCTGAAAAGGTTGTTGCCAGAATTCCATGACACCCCAAACTAAAGGCCCCTGGGACAAGAACTAGGTTACCTAATTTGAACTCTCAGAAATCCAGGTCAAGAGCAGGGCTTGGCATGCTTATGGCAGCACAATTCACAATAGCCAAACTAGGGAACCAGCCAAGGTGGCCATTGCTGGATGAAGGGATAAAGCAAATGTGGCATGTATACACAATGAAGTCTTATGCAGCTGTAAAGAAGAATGAAATTATGTCATATGCAGGAAAATGGATGGAACTTGACAACATTATGTTAAGCAAAATAAGCCCAACTCAGGTCAAAGGTCCTGTGTTGTCTCATGTGGAAGCTAGAGAGGAAATAGGGAAAGAAGGGTGGGGCAGAGGGTGTCTCATGGAAATCAAAGGGAGATCAGTAGAGAAAAGGGATCTTGGGGAGGGAAAGGGGAACTATTGGGAAATAATATTGTTATATTGTGTGCATGTACAAATATGTAACAATAAACCCCACCACTGTGTACTACTGTAATGCATCAATTTAAAAAATGTGAAAAACAAAACAAAAATAATAAGTCAGAGAACACGGCTTAGGACAGGAAGCAGAAGATCAGTGATAATAATCACACCCAGGGAAAGTCGGCAGATAATTCTGTGGTAGAAGAGGAAAAGCAGAGACCAGAGCTGCTTAGCGGATGAAGGCAAAGGGAGGGGAGAGACTTCAAGCATTTTTAGCTGTCCCAAGGGGCTGCTTTGGGCCATGCTGAAACAGGAGGTTGCAGGGAAAGAACATGCAGAGCCTCCAATAGCCTTGTAGATGATGGGAGGGATTTTTTAAAAAATAGCCTTGATTGGAGAAAATTAAAATTAGCAATTGTATTATAGACCCCCCCCATTAAAATGATTTTAATGATTTTAATTTTTAAATCCACTGATGTGTGAAATGCAAATATTTGATGATCACTGTTCTAAATGCCTCATAGTATTGCTGACAGAATTGATACAATTATAAGAAACTTCATTTATCCATTGAAAATTATTGAGCATCCACCCAGTGCCCAGCACACTTCCAGGTACTGGGGTGCAATGAAAATACTTCGTAACTGCAAGACGCACACGAGGCAGGGGCATTATTAACCAAAGGTACTTTCACCAGGAGCTTATCCCCAGTGTCACCACTGCCAATTAATGATTGTGGACAGGCATGGTGGCACACGCCTGTAATCTCAGTGGCTCAAGAGCCTGAAGATGGAGGATCATGAGTTCAAAGCCAGCCTCAGCAACTTAGCAAGGACCAAAGCAACTCGGGAAAAGAAAAGAAGGGAGAAAAGAAGAGAGAAGAGAAGAGAGAAAAGAGAAGAAAAGAGGAGAATAAAAGAAAAGGCTGGGGGTGTGGCTCAGTGGCTAAGCACCCCTGGGTTCAATCCCTATATAAAAAGCCCTGGCATTTGATCCCCAGCACTGAGTTTCCCCTCCTCCCCCCACCAAAAAAAAAAAAAAAAAAAACCAAAAACCAAAAAAGCCAGAAGTAGAAATTTGAGCACAAATGTGTATCACTAGGTGAAAGAAAACAATCTGAAAAACATAAGGTATGATTCCAGCTGTATGACATTCTGGAAAAAGAAAAACTATGGAGATAATAAAAAGCTCAGTTATTGCTGTGGCTCGGGGAGGAGAGATGAGTAGGCAAATGATGTCTGAGGCAGTGAAAAACTTCTGTATGATATCATGGTGAACACGTGTCACTGTACATGTCAAATCCATAGGATGTGCAACGCCAAGAATAAATGCTAAACTATGGACTTTGAGTGATAATGATGTGTCACACTGTATTATAAAATATGTACCAGTCTGGTGAGGGATGTGTATAAGGGGGACAGGAGATAATGGGAACGGTCTTATGCTTAATTTTGATATGAACCTAAAATTGGGTATCGAGTTTCCTTATCCATAAAAATGGGCCTCTGACTGCGATGCATGCCAAGGGTCCCCAGTCTCCTTAAGGGAGGGATGGTGGGCCAAAAACAAGCTTTAATCAAAAATACCTTGCTGATAGTTTTTAGACACAGGATGATGAAGGAAGTCACACTCCTCTGTCCCCAGGGTTTGCCTGGGAAGCTAGTCTGTGAAATTCTTATACTCCCAGGAGGTGTCTCTGAGCTGGATGTTGACAGAGGAAGTCACAGAAGAGAGTGGCTTCAGGTTGCTGAAAGGAAGGGACACTCCTGGGGTCTTTGCCAAATACAGTGATACCTCTGAGTTTTCTTCTGATGTGTCTCTTGCCCTTTTTCAATTTACCTTTCTTAATAATGTCACACTGGGAGCAAAACAGACCTTGAATTTTTAGGCCTTAATCTATAAAACACCTGGAGGTCCTACAGTTGGTCTGTTTAATTCGTCAACAGAACAATAATTCCAAAACATAAAAACGGATTTTATTTCAAGCCAACCTTAACAACATCTATAGAACACAAACTCAAGTTATCAACAAGGCCCAGGTCATCTGTAGGGAGCTGTAAAGGGGTGGGGAAAAACATCCACATGATGCTGTTTTCAATAAGGCAGGGAAGTTTCCTCAGGATTCAGGTGCCATCTCACCCCCCAGGGTTGAGATTTAATAGAGGCCAGAGGCTGGTCCAGTTTAGCCTTCATTCATTCATTCATCCAGGGTCACACAAATGCGGGTCAACACAGAGGCTGATGACTCTTGACTGTCAAAGCAGTCCCAAACCACCCAATACCACTCCGACTTTCCAGCCTACACCACTGTGTCTTTCCAAAGTCTACAATCAGTGAAATTCAAACAACCTGGTAGATCTCAAGTACAAATGTGGTCTCTCTGGAGAAACCAGTTCACAAATTAAAGGTGTTTATTATTTGAAAAATCCAGGTTTAAATTATTCAGATCTCCAAGACATCCAGCATTCCAACATGTTGCTTACTGTCCACATTCAAAGGCTCCTCTTGCCACAATCAAAGGCAGCGAGGTGCCCTTTCCTCTTCTGCCTGGTGCCCACAATGTTCTTCAAGTTTCCACGGTGCAGTTTTGAGGCCCTCCCATTTTCTGTCTCACAAGACAGGTGTGGCCAAGAGCCAGCCCAGAGAAGCACACAAAGCAAGACTGAGCCAGAGAAGGGAAGGGAGTAGGAGTCAGGGTGTAGGGTGTTGGGGTGTGTGTGTCGGTGGTGGGGGAGCTGGTGAAGGAGATAAGTTTCTTCCCAGGCGTGTGTGTGTGTGTGTGTGTGTGTGTGTGTACATGAAGGGGCGTGAACGCGTGGGCACGGCGGCATGGAAGTGGGGGGACCGAAGACAAATTTCTCCCCTCCTGTAAAGTCAAATTCCCTGTACTTCCCAAGGCCCAAGGCGAGTCTCTCGGGCAGGAGGCCCCTCTCAGGTTCTGCTTGCAGACTTTTCTGGGGTCACTACGCTCCAGGGAAAACCGCACAAAGTCACCAGAACACCTGTATATATTCTGTAATGGGGGGAGGGCATGTTCCCAAGGCCTTCTTGCAAAAGGCGAGTCCCCTCTGCAGCCACTAGTGAAGGGAGCGCCGCGACCGTGCCAGGCAGCTCGGGTTTCACACGACACTCTCCTCCCCCCAGACACCGAGCCCCTACACTTACCTGCGTACCGCGCCCCTCGGCTCGGCGCGCGTGTCCCTGCCCACGACCTCCGCAGCTGGCCCTGGGAGACCGCGAGGAACACGAGGCAGGCGCGCGCCAGGTGCGCTCCTGCCCGGGACGCCGACTTCCCGGCAAGGCCGCGCTCAGGTGGGCGCAGACAAAGCCGAACAAAGCCCGCAACGCCCGCGCGGGCCGGCGCAGCCTCCGCGCTCCTGGTCGGGGCAGCTGGGTCGCACCGGGACCCCCTCACAGGGACGCCAACCGTCGGCCGCAGCCCTGCCAGGCTGCTAGCGGGGCTCTCGGGCAGCGGCAGCGCGGAGCCAACTCGGGCGGTGACTCACCGGGCGGAGCGCGGCGAGGAGCGCACGCCACCCAGGCCCCTCTGCTGACAGGCATGGGCTTGGCTCGGGCCAGGGGGCGCTGCGGACCCACGAAGGGACGCCCTTGGGGGGCGGCAGCCACGTGGGACACCTGTTGGTCTGTCCCTGGAGAGGCGGGGAGGGCTGCGCAGCGGGACCCAGCTAAGTTGGCGGCTCTCCCCTAAGTAAGGGTGGTGCGTCGGGAGCTTCTGGGATACGCGCTGGCCTCGCCCCTCGCGTTTTTTTAACCAGGTGTTGGCCCAGGTAGGCAAATGAGCAAAGTGCGTACTTCTGTGCGGGCCTCCAGCCTCGTTTCTGTAAGGCAATTGCCTCTTGTTAACTTGCCTGCCCCACTATTGCAGTTGGGTGATAATTAGTCCACCTTTTGGCCAGCATCCTTGTTTAAGTCTAAAGGGTGCCTGATTTTACAAAATTAACCACCATCGAACAAAACAGCACAATGCCCGGCAGATGCTTTGTATAAAGTAAGCTTTAATGAATGTTGGCTATTATTGTATAATCTATAATTTTAATACTTCATCAAAAAAGTGTCCTTGCATAATGCATACTCGTTGCAAAAAAAAAAATCAGTAAGCAAATTTATAAAACCACCGAGAATTCTACTGCAGACTGAGATCATCTGTTAACATTATAGTGCTCTTCTAATGTTATTCTACCTATATAAAATCTGCTTATTCATTCCTTACTGTACCATACTATACATTATATTTCCCACTTCCTTTTTTGAACATCTTTTTAGACACTACATGATGTTCTAAATGTACTACATCAGGTTTTTTAAGACAGAGACAGGGTCTTGCTAAATTACTCAGGCTGGCCTTGAACTTGAGATCCTGCCTCAGCCTCCTGAATGGCTGGGATTATTGGTGTATGCCACCTTGCTCAGCCCATCTACTATTGTTGAACTCTCAACTTTCAATTTTAATCATGTAATTAGATATCTTTGTGCTTTAGCCCACTTACTTCCTTGGAATAAACTGCAAAAAAGTAAACTTCTAGGCAACAGGGTATATGCAATTTGGGAAATTATATGCATCTTATCAAATTGCCTTCTAGGAAGTTGACTTGCTTCCACTTTTCCAAGGCCTCCCCCATTATTCATTCCTGTGTCAATCAGGCGAATAGCAATTTTCTTATTTTTACACATTTCCTTTTTAAAAATTAGAAAAGCATTGCATTTCACTCTACAGTTCTGTTGGTTTTCAACCCTTTAGACATTGACAGGCTTCAGTGAAACTGGCTCCTGATAAACCTTACTGAAGAGGAGGAAAAATAACATTTTCACATAATTCACTCTTCCCGATAACATCTACTGAGCAATGGTGGTGGTGGTGGGGGCAACAAACAATACCAAAAAACAAAAATAAAGAAACATACTGACAGCATACATAATATGCCAGTATGTCACTCTGTAAGAGAACATGGGTCTAAACACCAGGGAAGGATGGTCTCTGCCTCTGAAAATCTGTGGTGTTTACAAGAAATGCAATGCAAGACACATGTGGAATTTTAAATGCTTTAGTGGCAACATTAAAAAGTGAAACAGGTAAAATACACTTTGGTAAGATAAATTCATAGATGAAAAACACTATACAAACATGTAATAGAGATATTTTATACTATCTTTAAAATTCTATTGTATATATTTCCACATATAGCATGTCTCAGTTTGGATTAGCCACACTGAGTGCTCAACAGCCACATGTGGTGAGTGACCTGTGTCACTCCAGATAGGTGTGAGAGGGGCAGAATGGGGTCCTGATAAAAAGTGGACAGTCCACCACTGACAACCCCTCTCCCCCATCCATGCTGGTTGTTTAACATTTCTCTGTAAACTTTTGCCTAATGAGTTTAGAGAATCTGTATTTCAATCCTGGGCATTCCTAACATTTTTGATCTGCCTTAAATTGGGGGTATTTCACATTTGCATTCCCTGATGAGGAGTTAGAAGTATAAATACGGGTAGAGAGAACAGTTGCTGTGAATTTCTCATCAAAGCATCAGCAGAGCCTAGTCTGCCCCCATGCCTTTCAGATTTCATGTGGGAAGAGAAAAAGCAGGTGGCCCAAGCTCTGCAGAGTAGGGAGTGGGCCACTTGCAGGGGTGAAGGCTTTTTATACAGAGATGCTGTGTGGCTACTTTTGTCATCCACAACAATCCTTCCTTTGTAAAGATTTATGGAAATTTTAAAATTAAGTCATGAAGGGCCACTATCCTGAAGGGTGGAGTCATGAGCTCCTTGCTTCTGAGAACTTTTGCCTTATTCACCTCTTCAAACCCAGTGCCTGGTAATTTATATGTAAATGTCCTTTTAAAATGTGAATTATGTCAACGCCCTGTTCCCCTGCTCAGGATGTTTCAAGGCATAGAGATGATTTTAAGATCTATGCAGAGATAAACGAGGACTTCAGCACTTGGTGACAGGTATCAGCAGGCGCCCAGTGTAATAGAATGACCACAGCTTTGGAGATGAAGTGATCTGGGGTTCCCCAACCAGTTCCCCTGTTGGCCTTGTAACACAGAAAAAAAAATGCTTTTGATTTCTCAGTTTCCTGACCTATAGAAGTACAATGGATATGGTGATTCTGAACTCTGTGGAACCCCAACCAAATTCCTTGCATCCAGTTCCCAAAATGAGGAAAGTACACATAAACAGAACTGTTGCAAAGGATGCTGTACAGACCTGCAAAGTTCTGCACTCCCCGGAACCAGAGCAGCCACTAATCAGAGCCTTGTTGAGAAGTCAAAGAACAGGAAACAATGCCCAATAAATGGCAAAGTGGCCATCTTGGAGGAAACAAAAGGCCTGATCCCCAAGGACTCTGCAGGCAGCAAACTAAACTACACCACCAGCTGTGGAGCCAAGAACTAAATTGTGGTGGAGACAGGAGGAAAGATGATGCCATCTCAGAGCTAAGGCCCCTGAGCTTGGAAGAGACACAAATTGTTCTAAAAGTGATAATGCACTTCCCAGTTCCTCCATAAAACAGGAGAATTATGCATAAAGTGATGCTGGATTTGCTTTTGAGGAATGTGATGTTTTTTTTTTTTTCATTTTCTTTATTGTGGTTGAATCCAACTTAAATTATAATACAAAATGCTTTGCAAACATCAGAGATATATAACAACATTTAAAACTATTTTTTGTAAAGGAAGTAATAATTTTAAAACACTATTAAAGGCCTTTTCTCTAAGAGATACATAAATAAGAGACAACCTTTAAGGCTGTCTGTGCAGACATTTTTAGCCTACTAAGGGGCACCTGTAGCACAGGACTGATGTAATGCCGCAGCAGAAACGGTAAATTACAAAGTGGTAACTCATACACACAGTAGTCACAATCCCCATCCTAAACACCATCCAGATACATCAATTTACACTAAGAAAATAGGCTTCTTTTCCCCACTAGGATGCTTCATGACCTGTCTTTCCAAACTAAAGAAATGCCTTCCCATCCAGCACTAGTACTTTTAAAACCATTAGAACTTTGGTTATACAAATAAGGTTTAATAAATACTCCTTCCAGAAACAATTTTTAAGAGATAAATATTTTATTTGTTAACTTTTTAAATTTGCTCTGATTAATAATACATGAAAGAATGCATTTTGACACATCATATATAAATGGAGTATAACTTCTCATTCTTCTGGTTGTATGTGATGTAGAGTTATACAGGTCATGTAATTATGTATGCATATAGGGTAATAATGTCTAATTCATTCTATTATTGTTCCTACCCTCCACATCTCCTCCCCTCCCTTCATTCAACTTTATTCTTCCCTAGCCATCCCCCATTGTGAATTAGCATCCATATATCAGAGAAAATATTCAGCCATTGGTTCTTTGGGATTGGCTTATTACTTAGAATGATATTCTCTAGTACCATCCATTTACTAGAAGATGGCATAATTTCATTCTTCTTTAAGGCTGAGTAATATTCCATTGTGTATATATACCACAGTTTCTTTATCCATTCATATGTTGAAGGACACCCAAGTTGATTCCATAGTTTTGCTATTGTGAACTGAGCTGCTATAAACATTGATGTGGCTGCATCAAGTCCTTTGGGCATAAATCTAGGAGTGGCATTCTATTCCAGGTTTTCTGAGGAAACTCCATACTGCTTTCCATAGTGGTTGCACCAATTTGTAGTCCCTAATGTGATTCTTTCTGAATCAAGCAAACACGAAGTTTCTATAAAGGCAAAGTCTTGGGTAACAGTCACTCAACCAACATTCCAAAATGCTGTGTGCTCTACATCATATTGTCATTTCTCTCCTGCTGTTACCATTTCTTTTCCAAATCTGTTTAGTTTCCACACACGTATGCTTTAAGTACTCACTGAACTAATTCTGGAAGGGATCTGTGCAGGTGGGCAGTGATCTCACTGCCAATCCAACACCACTTTAATCCCAGCATGCAAAATCATTCCCCCACTCCATCTACAAGTTCACAACTACAGACCGCCTTCCAATCCCTTTATCTAGAAAAACAAAAACCGCCTTCAAGAACCTTCCTTATGTGTTTGGTGAGAACTGCTTGGTGTAATGTGGGCTACAGAACCACATATACTGCTGAGGAGCCTGGATGTCCTCTTTGGCTACTCCCAGAACTCCACTTGCCACTCAGCCACCCCACTAATGTCAGCTGGCCCTCTAATAAAGATTTAAACTCTCTCTGGGAATCTGGCAGCATAGGGTCCTGCTGGTAAGGATTCTCAGGTGTTGGTTTCTAGAACATTTATTTTATAGGAAGAGTTCAATTTCAAAATGTGAATTA